TAATATCGAAACTATCATTTTGTCGTATTGCATCTAGAACTTAGATCAAAATTTTTATCCAAAATTATTTTAAATATATAATGAAGAACTTTGGATTTCAGCATTTTAAACCTCTCTCAAATATTGTTATCATCATCTTAAGAAATAAAGAGTATTCAAAAAGCTTTAGTTGGTGTTATAAATTTTTTGCGCAAGCAACGAAATGTATTTCTAATAAAAGTTTTATTATTTAATTTTATAATTGCTTTCTAATGATTTCGCCATATTATTCGCATACATCAGTATGTAGGGCATAATAGCATTAAAGAAGTTGAATCATTTTTATCTGCATGGAACTAAATATCTCAATGCGTTTGGGAGAATCTCAAACAAAAGATAATAAATCTTTCATTAATACTTACACAATCATATTTATATTGTTGCGATGTCCTGATTGATTTTTTTAATATTTATTTTTCGCTATCTATTAATTCATTATTAACCTTAAAGATTGATTTTTTTTTATTCTTTAATAATAACCTCACGGACTCATTTTATGATATTAACTCAATAGTTTGATATAAATTATTTAATAGATTTTTTTATATAAATTGATATTGAAAACTATATAAAGAGAAAAATTATATTGTATTTTTAGTTAAATATTTTTTAAATAAACTTAATAAATAAAAATTTTAAAATTACTTTCTTAATCTTTGTCTAATTCCCTGCTAACCATAACATATTTTGAATCAACTCACCAAGTTTTATTTTACAAACCAACAAAGGACTGCTCGACCAATCTCGCAGCACACCTAATCACAATAATTATTATTGACAGCTTATGACATGCATAACATAATATTGTCATACGATATAATCTACGAATCGACATTTAAACATTACTTGGACATGATATTATATAAAGTTAAATTTATATATATAAAATGAAAAATTAAATTAAACAATTATAAAACTACATTGCAATAGTTTAAAATGAATTTTACCATAAAATTAACTATATGACATGACAATGCGCATAGATTGCTCTAGATTCTTCATTAGGAAGAAGCGTTTGTAAACCAGATATTTTTCCACTAACGTTAGAAGTTCGGTTATAACATTGATTTGAGATGAGATATAATAATCCATCCATTTTTTATATGGGTCCAGCGAGAAAGGAAAAGCGTAGCAATATAGGAATAATATAATAATTAATGATTTTTTCTCGTTTTATTTCTTTATGAGATAAATATATCTTTTTTTATGAGGCATAGCTACTATAAAAATTTATCGATTGGGACGAGTGCTCCGCGGTCTCCACGAATTCAATGTCTTCTGGAAAATATATACTGCTACCAGGAGGTAATGTCTTAATAAGTTTGACAAATGAGGGATTATCAACATAGGAAATAGACGGAACTTTACCAATTATAAAATTGATCATGATTTTATCATTCAATTTTTGAGAAACACCTGGTTCTGATGTTGTATTAATTAATTAAGTCTGAATTAAATGTGATTTATTGGGCGTAGCCTCTTTTAACACCTAATTATTTAGATATTTTTCAATTTCATTGAGTGTTGGCATTCTAAGTTTAAAACAGTTATATTTTATTAAATTTATGAATTACCTTTGGATGTTTTTTAGAGTGCTGCTTGATTTATTAGAATATATTATCCTTCTACATTTTTTTGCATCTAAATTCAAATACAGCATTAGTTTCTTTTTTACATTAAGTTCAAAATATTTAAAAATTTGGGAAAAGAAAATTCCACAATATCATAATCGAGTGAAATTTTGTTATTATCTACTCATTCTCTTTCATCTATATTTCTGTTATCCGTATTTATATTTTAAATTACTTCTAAAAATTCATAATGAAGATTTTATAATATAAATTTCAAAGTTAAATTATTGCTTAGGACTATAATTGTGTAAATCGTTTTGCCAGATCCTTTTCTACCAAGTAATCCACGAGAACAAAATTTAAAATATCCAGGCTGTTTAAGACATCTGTAGTCCATTTTGACTTTTAGCCCTTAAAAAGCTAATTATAATAGCAGGCAAGAAAATGAAGTTTTACTTGCAGCAAAGAGAACCTAGAAATAGCTTATCCAATTATATTCCTATACATGGATCATTAAGTTATATACAGACTTTAATTTTTGTTTATTTAATAGGCTTTTTTCTTTTTTAAAATATATTTTTATTTTTTTGGGTGTATATATTAAAAGCTTAAATTCAAGTGATTACAAAAAAGTCTATATTCATTGTTAACGTTATTGTATAATATTTCTTAAATTGCAAAATAAAATATAGATAAATAGAATATATAATAATTTAAAATTAATTAACTAGTAGATAGTCCGTCAAGAATGGTTGATGAATCATAATTTTCTCCTTTAATATCAGAAATTTGACTATCTTATGAAGTGTAAGTCAGAAATTTGCCTTTATTTTGATGAGATGTGATTCTGAATTTTTGAATATTATTTTATAAAATATATTATTGAAATATATATATCGATTTCATATTATCTGAAAAAGTTGTCTTTATTTGCACAATAAATATTTTCGGCTAAATTTTTATACATTTGTATTAGTAAAAAATATAAATCTTGCTTCAATTTGTCAATAAATCTTGTTTTATCAAGTTAGAACAAAGAGTTTTCATTAGTATTTTAAGATATTTAATATTTAAATAAAAAAAATTTATATAAAGCGATAAAATCTATTAATTCTTTTACAAGCTTAAATGGCAGTCAACATTTTGAAGCGATGAAATCTATAATGAATAACTTTTACAAATTATAAATGGTGGCCAATATATGAATAATTTTTTTACATCTTAAATGGCCGCTAATATAATTGAAGTGAAAATATAAAACATAATTTTTTTTACAAATCTAATATGGTCACCAATATATTTGAAGCTATGATTTTATAATAATTTTTTTTAAATTATAAAATCATAGTACTCTGATATTATGAATTATTTCATTTAATCTTATATTTTTATATAAAATAAAAGGATAATATTTAAAAAATATTAATAGAAAAAATGAAAATTGTTTTAATACTAATTCATTATATAATAAACGCTGTCAGTCACAATTTGTGAAAAAGTGCAACAATATCAAGAGTTTGATTCGAACTTGCGAACTAAATATGATATCCTAGCATTTGTGACAGCTAATTACGCCTATGCCACCACGGGTTCTAATGAAATATGTTTTTTAATCTATTTATTTTCCATTTTATAGTTTATTTTAATAATTTAATAATTTTGAAAAAATATATATCTTACGATGAAATATTTATATAACCTTAATTTCTCTATTTTCATACTTATTCGAATGAACTTTGTATTATACGATTAAGTATTCATATAACATTAACTTTGTAATCTTAATACTTATTATAAAGAGTGCTATCACGTTCTATTCTTAATTGCCATTTTAGAATTTTTGTATCGATATGAGGTAATTTATTTTTAAATTCTTTTACTATTATATTTTTAGATTATACCAGAATCACGAGGTTTAGATTAGAGAAAGTCACATTATCGTAGCAAGAAAAAGAACATGAATTGCTTTAACATCGTGAGAATATTAGAAATAAATGGGCACGTTGTCTTAGCCAGATAAGGCAAGAGCAAGGTCTTATTGGTTCAACAGCAAATCTTATATTCTCAACAATATATCTTTATGATATACATCTTTTTTAAATTTTAGATAATAATATTTTATTTTATAAAAATTATATATAAAATAGAAAATTATTCTAATAATCACATCTTTTGAAAATCACTACGGTAGTGCTAGTGATCCAACAATGAGTAGTGATTTCTTAATCCAACACCGGGCCATAATATTTTCTAGATACAATTGATTATTGTCTATTAAAAAAATTTACTAATAATTTTCAAGTTGTCACAACTTGCTATAAAATTATATTTATTTAACTCAAGATAAGTATGATCATGATGGTAGTCTCTACCTGGTCTCTGTAAAAATTTAAGTAAATTATTAAATAAGTGAGGGAGATCGGGTTTATATGACTGGTGTTTTGCACTTTTCCCATAAAGTTTTAACTTTAAACTTTTGGCGAAAATTTAGCTCCTTCCCTAAAACAAAATTATTTTTACCTACCCCCAAAATACCTTTAGTAAAAAGAAATCTAACCATCAAAATTAGTTCAGCGATACCATACCTCCTACCTACCTTTTAAAATAAATTTGTTCTTGAATCAATATCTAAGATCTCACTGAAAAATACTTACTGGAATGATAATAATCATAATTTTGATTGAATATATAACTCCATTTATTTTATTTGCAGCTTAAAAAAAGGGACGCTGAATCTCTTTCGCAGCTTCCAGAATATAAATTCATTGATATCATATCAGTATTTGACATGCATAACTTAAAAAATTGTCAATTATATAGAATTATATATAATCTAAGAATCGAATCTACGACATTATACATTATTTAATTGTCATTTGATATTAGATAAAATTATATCTAACGTAAAAATACGAATCTACGACACCTTCCACTCCTGTTTTAATTCAATCACAATATTGAATTATACCTCTTCCCCCATGGTAAAAGTGCTCTACCATAATTAAGATAGTGACGGTTAGAGAATTATCAGCTGTTCAGAGACCAAAATCAGCATTTTGGTAACACTAAGAATAACGTGATTTATAAATAGATTTCCCAGGCAGAGAAACCACTTTAAACATTTTGTAAATCGCTGCCTTAGGAAATTCTTAGGGAATTCTTGCTTAACATGTCGTATTACCCTTTTCCATATAAATTTTAAATAAAAATTTATGATCATAAAAAAACATATCAAAAGCATTATTTACAATTCAATATACGTAATGATATCATTCAATTATTTTTTTTACATTCAAGATAGTTTTAATGTTTTATTTTAGACTATTTTAAAATCCGATTTTTAATTTTTTTTTCTAACTCTGCCCAAAAACTTGGTAATTAAAAATTACCATGTTTCTACAACCTAGTAATAAATATAATCCTATGTTGAGTGTCTTATCTAGTTTTCCTAGCAACTCCGCGTTAATTCCTACATATGAACCAAATTTATTAGGCGAATCCTTATTTGACTATCAGATAACCAATGGATCACTCAATGTTAATCTAGGGCTACCAAGCATTGGCAACCCTTATTCGACATCATATAATAAGGAAATCTGTAGCAATAGTCTACCTAAACTTTCAATTGATGATTATGACCCAAGACTTTTTCTTTCTGAAGAAATACGTGAGCCGAATAAAATTAATACATTGGGGTAATTTATAAATATTACCTTTTTCCTTCTTTTAATCAAGAATCGGATAATGTAGAATTTATTCTATTCATGATTCAATTATTATGCCATGATCTTATTGAATTAATAATAATAGGGAAATTACTTAAATGTAAGATTAAATAGGCAACAAGGGTTATAAATTGAATAGATGAGGGAAAACCTTTAAATGTATATTGTAAAAATGATATGATACAATGATAGATCTACGTCTAAATTTGAGTTCCGATCATATATTAAGGTTTACCTATACCCTTAGAAACATAGAATTTGAAGAAAACTTGTGATGGAAAATTATCGTGATAGATTAAAAGTTTATTTTGTTTTAAAATTATATATGACAAAAATGTGGATTTATGGCATAAAAGATAAATTGTAAGTGGCAAATAAAATAAAGAGGATGGAAGGAGTGACAAGGAAAGGGATATAATAAGTTTTAGTTTGAGGAAAATAAGTTATTAGCATAGGTTATAAGCCAATGATAACTGATGCGATAGGTTAAATAAATTGAGGCGTAATAAGAGGTCGTTATGACCGGATAACTGTAAGTTTTACGAATTTAGTTCATTTTCTCTTGCTTTACAAATTTAAGTAGAAAAAAATAACAAGTTTTATTATGTAATCAAAACTAATACCTTACTTTAAATTTAAACACAAAAAGAAGGTTATGGGAAAATTTCAATTTTTTAATTTACTGCTTCATTAAAAAATATCCAGAGCAGTATTGAGCGAATATATATATTTTTCTTATTTATATCGGAGAATATTACGAATTTATATATTCCATTTCTTATTTGAATTTATGTATATGTCGTAGGAGTTAAATTCGGGACCAGGCGCGTAACCAATAAGGGGGGGGGAATTCCTACCCCCACCCATCGCAAATTTGACTATTTTCATAAATATCATTTTAAGCTAATAAAATTTTACTACCACCCCCCCCCCAATCAAAATTTTACAAATATTTGAATATCAATTTTCCAACATATAATTCAAAAATATTAATAAAATGTTAAAATATTTAGTCAAAGAGATTGAAATCAAACGATAATTTATAAATAAGGCTGAGCATGAAAAAGTAATGTGTCGTCAGAAGCGATATCATTATTGAATTCAATTGATCAATCAGAGTTTATCATTGCTGCTAGTTGCATCAATAAATTATTTTTAGCTCACTACTTTGTAGAAATTTACAAAAACCAAATTTAGATTTGGTTCAGGTTATTGATTTGGCGGAAAATATACATGAACTGGTAGATACAATAAGAATGAATGTAGATAAATCTTTTTTTATTCCTATGAGATTGATACTGAAATAAATTTAATCAGTGAATTCGAATTGTGGTATAAATATTTACTACGTTTAGCTATTTTACCTGAGCATGCTATTGATGCGCTCAATCTGTGTAAAGAAACCTTGGCTCAATTTCCTAATATTTTGAAGTTGTTTTATATTTTATGTTTGCCTATTACAACATGTACGAATGAAAGGACTTTTCCCAACTTAAGAAGGTTGAAAACATATTTACGAACTACTGAATCTCGGCTAAATGGGTTAGCTCTGTTAAATATACACAGAGATTTGGTTCCAACGATAAACGAAATTCTTGATGAATTGGCAACATTCCCACGAAAATTAAAAATCTTGTATTTGATAAGAAGTTAAAAAAAAACATGTTAATTTAATCATTTTCTAGTCAATATTTTATACACACTACTATTAGTATTTTCAATAAAAAAATTATATTCTACTTATATTGTATGAGAATTTAAGCTGAGGCTAGTTTTTAAAGCAAATTTTATAAAAAAAATGACATTACACTTTATTTCAACTTTACATTTAAAAAAACTTTATTAAATATAATATACCTAACTTGAAATAATAAAAAATAGGCTTGTAATATCCTATCCATAAGCACGAATTAGTAAATAATAGTTAATAGAAATAATTATTATTAAATTATGAATAATTTAATAGAATAGCTAAAACATAAGACTAAAATGGGTTTGGGGGCGAAGCCCCCAAAAAATTTTCCCCCTCCCCCATAAGAAAATCTTGGATACGCCACTGTTCGGGACTATATATTTTTTAATATATTATAGAGCTTTTTTCTATATATTTATTAAGTTATTGTATATTTTGGCAACAATACCAATAAGTATATGCCCAAATCTAAGAAAATTATTTTCTTGATTACTGAGAATAAAATCTATCACAGAAGTACTACATCAGAAAATTGATCGAATAGCTCTAAGTAATATACATAGATATTTGATTCTCACTACAGAGTAGCTTATTGAAAAATAAGTTCAATCGCAAAGATTAAATCCTTTTAATTTATATACTTTACCCATTTATATGTAATATTTTTACCAATATTAAATAATTTATATTTGCTCTTACTAATATTTTGTATTTTCAAATATTAATATAATTAGAGGAAGTGTAATCGGGGCATCTTGGTTCACCTTTTCTTAAAACCTCAATAAATTTAATAGTATTAAACTAATCTGGATGAATAAAACAAATTTTACATCCTAAAATTACATGGCGTTTCGTGGATGAATATTTACTAGAATTAATCGTTCCTGCCAAGATTTAAATTCTGATTTTAATTGGCTAGGCCAGATATTTATTCTTCTCAAAATTAAGAATGAATATATGTGTAATATTTAGGTCAATAATATCTACAAACAGGATAGAGATGATCACTGTAAATCTCAAATCGTTATGATTTAGTTAAAAAATATAACTAAAAGTGGTATAAAGATGGTTATTTTGTAATAACCTTTAATCGAAGAAACGCTAATATTGAAACGATATGTCCCTCTATTAATCAAGACTTGCTAATCACATAACTATATAACTTTAATTTCTCCTCAATAATCGTATATAACTAGTAAAATTTTTGGCATTTATTATCTTTTACTCTTCAGGTTTTAATACAACAATATATGCAATGGATTTTCATAGTTTCCAAAAAATCAATGTAATTTTTTTTTATATATATTGCATAAGATAGTTATGCAGCTAAATAATTTATTTATACATACTAAATGCAAAAAAAATTTCTCAAGTTGTAAAAAACCTTTTTCTTCAATAATATTTTATTTTATAGATAATTTATATATTCCCGCTATGTGGTTACCCACCTATTTGAAGCTTCACAATTTGTTTAATTTTAAAGTTCGATCTCGGTGAGCATTAAACATAAATAAATATGATTCAAAAAAAATAATATAGATTTATAAAACAATTATTAAAACTCTGTCATCAAATTTTTAATGTTTGTTTAATATTACTTTATTATATAATATTTTAAGCATCTTGGAAGATTTTAAAGAGCCCATCATAACAGGAAGTTATGCTAAAGAAGATATTTACAATATTAATAGCACTGTAGTTGAGGGTATGGCCAAAAGAGTAAAAAAATATCCTGGATTGTAAGTCAAACTTTAAAACTTAATCATATTTAATTAGGTGCCCCACTTGACGTTTTTAGGATTTTTGAGTTAGGAGTGGATTTTATTTGATTAATTTGCACTAAATATATAAATAAATTTAAAAAATTAATTTTGGCCACGTTAGAGCACTGTCAGTTTTAGGCTTTTCGTAATTTTTGCTATATATGCACTATATGATATTATCATATCTATAATCATCTGTTGTGCACCTTTTTTAAATTTTATAAAAAATTATTATAAAGTATATATGGAAAAATTATCTGTTAAATAATAGCATAATTTTTTATTCATCCAAATGATTACTTCTATGAATAATTATAATTAAATAAAGATTGGTCTATTTATATAATTTGATGATTTATAGTAATTATCTCTGTTTATTTTGTTTTTATTTAACAATTTCTCAAACAAAAAATAATTCATAAAGTGTTTATTTTGCTACACTTGCATTTTGATTTTATCAAATAAAATTCTCACAAAAAAAATTTTAGGCTATTATTTGGAAATAGTATTATAAATTACCTCTAAATTTTTTATTTGTATTAATCTATAATTTTTATATTTGAATCTAAGCTTTAAAATAGTTTTTCTCAGCTTTAACAATTTTGCAAATGGAGCATCATAATTCTAGACCGACGATTTGTCTGAGCATAATTAATGAATTTTACGATCCCTTAGCACTAACTTCTAATCGAAATGATGCCCATTTTAATAATTTATAAATATATAAAAATAATGTTTATTTCATTACTATCAATTAATTTTTGATTCATTTTTGAATGTCTTAGAAAAGATGTTAGGAGATAAAGGAAGGGGATTAACTTATAGCTGTAAATGATTCTAACAACACTAACACTTTTCCCCCATAAAATTTACTGGAAGTCTTCTTATAGCAATCCTTCAGGCAAATTTCCTAGGGAGGGAAAGTTTCCCCTTGCCCTCCCCCCCCCGGCTACTTCTATAGATAACTATAAAATTACAAAATAAAAATAATTAGTTTTTTAATAAAGAATATTATATATTCTTTGATTAATAATTATTTAACATTTCTTGAGAAAATCAATTAGCCATATAAAATTAGCACTAATTTATTAAAAAAATATCGTTGAGCCAATTCACGTTGTCCTTGATGATGGTGAATAAAAAAACGGCACATAGTGTACTGCCTATTAGATTTATAAACAACTCATTAACCGCCGTAGATAATATTATCGGCCCTCGGGTTTACTTTTCATTAAAATGATTCATTTAATATTAGGTATAGTAATTAAAAATAACATGTAAACTCTGTATAAATTAACTTATAAAAATAAAATTTAAACCCCATATTAATAAAAAAAAAAATTTAAAAACACATTTTAAAAAAGCTAACATATTTTAAGTGGTTAAAAATAGTCAATCCTCCTCTGGAATCGGCCAGGTATCTTTAAATTTAAAATTATAACGTAAAATTTCGAAGCTGATTTAGATCAAAAATTCCCTTGAAATTGTTGTTTTAGTGCTCCCTTTTGACTGGTTAGGTTGATTAGGGATTTCGCTTCCCAAATGAACAATTTGTTGATAACACGATGGGTAATTCTTGTCGGCTTTTGGTGAATATTTTTATATTTTATCTCCTAATATGGAAACTTGTTATCAATTTATTTATTTGTAAGATGTTCTGTTGGTAACTAATATTTTATTCCCATCATAACTTTTGGTTGAATAAGTGTAAAACAAAATTAAAGTTAACATAATATACTCCTGTTTTCTTTTAAAGTTTAAAAATGAAGATCTGAGGGAAAATAGCTTATAAACAATAATTTTGATAAGGTGACCCATGATTTTTAAAATAAATTTGATCTTCTAACTGGTATGATATTGTAACTGAGGCCAAACTCCTATTTATACGATTGCTTTTAAAGAACGATGTATATTTTATTTACTCTTATAAAAAAATATAATTAATATCTTATTAAAATGATTATTTTTTTCATTATCATTTACTTAATTCAAGATTTGAGCCTAGCACCTTTGATGTACCATTAAAAATGTCAAGCTTTAATGAACCAGCTAGTAAACCACTATTAGTTGATAGTCCTTATATGAATACTCATGCTAGTTCTTATATTAGTGCGCAAGCTGAATACCGCGATGATGCCGTTTCCAAAAAAGGCCCAATATTTTACTTTGACTTTCCTGACGATGATTACGGCATCACTTTCAAAACTTATCATGGTAACAAACCTGTTAAAAGTGAAGGAGCTAAGATTATGCTTCCCCATCTACAAGAATCAGATTATTATAAATAATTGTTTAATATTCTATTCCCTTTTTGTTTTCTATTTTTTAATCATTACATTTTATTCTAAACCCAAATTTATGTTACAAACCTAATAAAAGATTTTTTTTCTACCTGTTATGTTCTTTAAGATCTCCGGTTTCTACCTATGACTAAATTGTTATAGGCCGACCCTAAATAATATGAGTATCAATCATTATTCCTTCCAGAATAAAAAATAACACTCATAAAAAAATTTCTCAATTAAGCAGAAATTAAAAATATTTGAAAGTTAATAATAATTTTTACTTATATTATCTCATCTTCTTTTTAATTTAAATTTTGTTAGACAAATAATTTATTACAAGAAAATTTTAGAATATCTCAGAAAAAAATATATTAAATCACTCGAAAGTTTTTACTCGAATGATTTATTTTTTTAATTTATATTTATCCCTTATTATTTGATGGACAAATTTAGGTCATATTGGGTCAGACTCGCTCGAATTTTATCTCATACAATAGTTTGATAATAAAAATATAAGGTAATGAAAATAACTTTTGATTGATTTATTAACACTTTAGATCCTTGTGGTAAGGGGGGAGGGGGTTTAAAATAAAAATTTTGTATTGGTATTTAATGAAATAACAAAAAGATCTTATGTATTTAACTATCTCTTTAGGTTCTCGAGTCCATTTCGTGGGAAGGGGGAGTGGTTATAATTTTTTTTAACTTCTTCTATTAATATTTTATATGGTATGGGTATCAAAAACAAGGTTAATCATTAATCCATCACCATAGAGCCATTGAGATATTGAATAACAGTCATTTTTAATCAAAATATTTATAAATATCGATAAATTATTTATTTATTTATATTTAAGAATAATTTTGTTGATATTTTAATAAAATAAACTTTGATTTTTAATATATTATTGAACTACTAGTTTTTGGCGTTATAATCTCATGAATATTAGATGCATGCAAAGACTAACGCATTTTTAAAAAAATTTACTATGACGAAACATTGTGAAATATGCCGAGTAAATAAAATTCATAATAACAAGAATTTTAATATTTTCGGTATTTTGACATGGCCGGATTTAAAAATTAGTTCACTATGTAAATTTTTACTATACAATCAGGGTTTCGATGATTATTCTTAAAATAAAAAAGGATAAAAAAAATTTGGAAGTTAGAATTTTCAAATCTCTGGATTTAGAAAATAAAGAAGATTACATAGATAAAGAGTTTAAGAATAAATCAAGGTAACTATCAAATTTTATATAAAAGAAAATTTTTTTTAAACTTCTCTTTAGATAAGTGTTTAAAGATCGGGTTGTAACAATTTCATACAATTGATAGGTCAAATTAATTATGACAATTTTATTAAAAAATTTATAATATTGATATGCCATTACCTTTTATAAAAATAATAATAACTTTTAAATTAATAATAATTATGGAAAATAAAATAAAAAATTGGGTTAAGGGAATTGAATTTTAATCCATTTTAAACTTTCAAGTCAAAAAATTAATTTATAAAATAAATTCATAAAAATGGGAGTTTTTCTAGAAATTTTTTGTTTAATACACATAAGATAATTTATTAATATGATGGGAAGCAAGGTTATTTATGCATAGATTAAGACATTTAATGATTTTAAGGTAGTGGCGGGGTGTGTTTAATATTTTTTTATAAATAACTCCATTTAGGAAGGAATCATTGATTGATGAAAAATATATACGTGCAATTATTAATGCTTTTATTTAATGAGAATTCACTAATCAGATTATCATTTTTTTTAAAAAATTAAATAAATTTAATTTGAATAAATTATGAATTTTGTCAATTTTTTTAAGAATATGATCTTCCGACCTTTTTATTTTAAAAAAATAGTAATTTAAAATTTTTTTTATTAATATTTTAAAAAGTAAGGTGTGAAAGAGTTTATATATATACTTTTAATAAAATAATTTAATTCGCCAACATTTCCATTTCTTGGTTAAGAAAATTTAATCAAAATATTATTAGTATAATTATAATATATATTATTTAACAGGTAAAAAAAAAATTATTAATTTTGATTTTGATATGTATTTTATTGCTTTTTAAAAATATTAATTTGATAATTATTCTCTTTTTAACTGACCACAGTTATAGCATAGCATAACTGGTCAAGTGTAAATATAACTTAAAGTTATCATGTAAACTCTATGGGCAATTATTCTTAAAATATACAAATAGTTATAATATAGGCAAAAAAAATATTAAAATTTTAAATTTTTTATACATTTTTAAAATTAATATTAACCAATCTCGAAATTCAAACCATCAATATATATTCAAATATTTTAGCGAAGATATAGGTCTCTAAATTTTTTTTTAATCTACGTTTCCTAGTTTATTTTTCTCCGACTTAAAAATATTTCTATAGACTTAGTTACATTATATAAAAATATCCATCTTTCCCTAAATCTGATAGGGATTTTCGCCAATTTGCTTTGTAGAATCTGACAGAACAATTAAAATCAATATAAAAAAAATTATCAACTAACATGTAATATCTAAGAATGGGTTCTAACGGATAAATAAAACACAAGCGAGACCAGTAAATAAATCAATAAATTTGGGTTCATGGATAGCAATTTATAATATTTGTGATATAATTTTCAATATCATAAAGTAAATTAGTCCCGTCCATGTAGAGTTCCTTTATTTTTTTCTTTTCTTAATCGAACTAATCAAAAATATTAATTTTTTTTAAATATTAACGACGCAGAATCTAAATATTACTGTTATATTTTTTTTTAATCTTTGACCTATATACGTAAATGTGGCCAATATTTATATTATTTTATTGAACATGAACTTATGAATCGTACCATACTTGATAAGATGTGACCTTAATTTAAATTTACTAAAAAATATATCTAATTGGCATGCCAAATATATATTTGTTTATTTTTGAAATACTATTTAGATTTACTAAATAGGTATAATAACCTTTTATGCATTTATATACACTATAAAATATCTAGAAAAATTGAAGCACAAAATAATTGCCATAGATACGAGACGCGACATTATAGATAAAGTATTCATGAAGAAAAATAACAATAACTCGTTATTCGCTATCTCGGAAGAAGATTCGAACGGTAGAAGCGACAAAGAAGCAATTTTAGCTGAAGAAAATGAAAATAACTCTAGAAATTCCCACATTAAGGTACCAAAGGATGTTCCCGTGAATATGCTTTCCCTGACCTGTTTCTTGATAGCGGGAGTAGTGGCCTGCGTTGTTTTACCTTTTCTATATTATAAGATAAGCGAACTGAAGGTCGATCATAGGAATATGATCGTTTCGCTAGAGAATAAATTGATGGAAAAACAGACGGCAATACAGTTTTTAAATATGGAGATGACACGGATTAGAGTAAGAAAAATAACTTTGATTTATGATTTTTAAAACAAATTTATCTGAATTTCATTATTGTGGATAATTGAAAATGCTATAAAACAGATTTTTTTCGGTCTATCAAATTTATAGTTTTTCTTACACTCAATATTTTTTTCCTTCTAAAATAGTTACGAATGATCATTTATTAATTCTAACACCTGCTTTTAATAAAAAAAAACCACTAAAACTCAATCGGATGATTGTATTATTTGTATTCGTACGAATTAAATAATAATTCGATCGAATAATGGAAGAAAATTATTCTACGAATAACACATTTTCCTTATTCGTATTCGATCGAAAAGAATAATTTTGTCATAAATTCGAATAAGGAATAATTCGTTATAGGTTATACCCATAGATTATCAAAATATATTATTGTCGTTAATTTCTTTTTGCAAACTCTTAGTTGTATCTAAAATTAACTAAGAATGTTTTTTTAAGGTTTTTTAAAAATATTTAGAAAAACAAACTATATCTTTTAAAATCTCTTAATATATTTTTTCTAATCAAATCTTATAGAAAGAAGTTTGTTTAATCCAATCTGGATTTTTTTTCTCAAATTGATTTATAATTCACATATTAATCATAATAGTGTATTCCATGGATTCATTTTCATTATATATCTTTTTACCCAGTTATATATCTTTAACATTTAAAAAACTGAAGTCAGGAAAAGACCCATTGTATTATCCTAAAGACCCTAAAGATGCTATCAGAGTTCCTGATTTAGAAAACAGGATTAATTACGAAATCGAAGTTCTTAAGAAACAAGACGAAGAAGAGGAAAAGAATTTTATAATGTCTCAACTCAAGGTTAATAACTCCAAAAGAAAATCTTTCAGAGCTAAAAGATCGGAAGATATCGATAAAAGAGGCAAAAGAGCCTTCGAAAGACCTAGAAGTCCTTATAGATACCAAGCCTCCGGTATGTATTTTTTTAACACATTGTAATGTAAAATACAGAGAGGTAAAAGTAAGATCTTTTAAGAAAAATTATAATAAGTTGATAAATAAAATTTAAACTACTTCCGCAGGAATTACTGTTGCATACTTATATTTATACATAAACAATAGCATGGGCTTAATGGGCAGCCCCCCACATAAAAATTCAAGCCCCCAAATTGGTCTCCTTGATAAAATTTTTGGCCCCGACAAATGAAACCCAAAAAATTTTAACGGTCCTAAATTTTAAAAAAATATTAGTTATTGAATTTTGATTCGCCATTAACAATTAAATCCAAAAGAAGAAAACGAAATTTTTGGTTAGTTATTAGTATGAAACCAAATTAATTGGGTAAACAAAAAAATACTTTTATAAATATTAATTATAAAATATCCATTAACTCATTAACCATTAAATGAAAAAACATTAAACAATATTCGTGCTTTTATTCATCCACAAAATGGCACTGATGTTTGTGAATTCATCAATTCTTATGATGATTCTCTCAACAACTTCTTGAAATGGTAAGTTAGTCAATGTTGGCGAGATTTAATTAATTAAACAATTAGGATAAATTATAAATATTGCTAACTACTCCTTGCTTATCATGCGATAATGCCTAAACGTTAATTAGGCCAATTCATGTCAATTATTAATATAATATTTTAAAAAAAATGAAAAAGGACGAATACTCTTATAGGAGAAGAGATAAATATTTTTTCAAAAAATCTATTTTCCTTGGGAAGTTTAAGATATCAATGAAGGCAAAGTATTTCCTGCCTATCTCATGTTTATACTTGAAAGTTAATTATGTAGCAATACATATAAAATATTAAAATAATATAAAAAAATTAAAGAGGACGGAGATTTTTATAAAGAATTTACTATGAAATGGATTAATATTCTTTTAAAATACCAATTTTCCTAGTGGAGTATAACTGAACCAATCTTGAGTACCGGGAAGTACTAAGGTAGACATCTTACATTATAATTATTATTTATTTCCACCCATAATATTTGTGTATAAATGATTTATTCAATATTTTCATTTTTGACATTGTACTTCCAATTGTTTAGAGTCAATTAGTGTTTTTAAACGGTTCGATTTGAAAGAATTTTAAAAACGGCGAACTCTATATTTAAACTAGAAAAATATTGTCTAAGCCTTGAGATTTCGCTTAACTATTTATTTATTCCTTCCAAATAAACAACCCCCCCCCCATCATTTTTGGCTACGCGGTCTCAATCTAATAGTTTCTATAGATATGAATTTTCTTTTTTCCATTACATTGAAAATACTTTATGCCTAATATTTTTCAAAACTAGTTACATATCTTAATTTATTCTTTGTGTGTACAGTAATTTATATAAATATCTAAGCAGATTGTAATTGATTAAACTTTCTTTTATCAGGAACTAACTAATTTCAATTATTATTCCTTACGATGTATGGAAACCTTCAGAAAGAACTAGTATTTATTTTTGATTCTTAAATCATATAAGAGCTTGATAATAATATTTATGGAAATAGGCATGAAAAGGAATAAAAAAGATGAAAATGAAAACGATATGTAAAAAGATATAAATAAAAAATTTAGCAAGGATGAAGGAAAAATTTAGATATCACGGATAAAGGAATAGAGTGATTATTATATAAGTGAAATGGCCTGATACCTATAACTGATTTATAATTATTCTAAGAACTGATCCTGAAAAATTAATATAGCTGAGAAGTTTTAAAGAATTACCATGATTGATAATGATAGGTGGAATCTAAAATTCCTATTAGTAATTGTAACTAATTCATCATATATAGCCTAAAAAATGTTAACTCGGTAAGTCGATAATTTAGCATACGGTTCTATATATTTCTGCTATCCCGAATATAGAGGAAAATTTTGAGTCAATTAAGATGAGGATGTTTAGATGGATATTAATATGAATGTTAAAATATAAAGAGAAGGGTATATTGATTCATGAGTAACAATCTGGTTGTAATACTCTAAGATTGTTTACCTCTGATAAAAAGACGAGTAAAAAAGATTAGTGGATCATGTAAATATATATCATAAAGGAGACAACTAAAATGGAAACATTTTATAGAAAGAAGTAATAAAGTAAATAAAATTAATAAGAAGTGTTTCAATAAAATAAATAAACTGATCAACAGTCTCCCAACAATAATTTTTAATACATTATGCAACGTAAATAAAAAATATCAAGCCAATTGCGCCAAGGATTGCAAAGACGGAATTCCTGGGACTATTGGTTCACCCGGTGATCTAGGTCCCACAGGGCCTCCAGGCGCACCAGGGTTAGATGGTTCACCTGGTAAACCTGGATTTCAAGGTAAGGCCGGATCTGAAGGAAGGATTGGTGCCCCGGTATATATTGACGCATACTTTATTTTAAGGAAAGTTCGAAATGGTTTAAAATAAAGAAGAAAAAAAATTTTAAGGAACATTTATTCTTGTGATTTTAAATATGCTTTAGGAATTTTCTTAATTTTACTTTGGTATGAATTGATGATTAAATATCTTTATTAATTTTATAGGGACCGGCTGGAGACGTCGGTAGAGATGGAGCACCAGGATTAGATGGAACCCCTGGCTTACCTGGATCAAAGGGTCAAGATGGCAACCCAGGAGCTGATGGTCTTCCAGGAGCTGATGGGGAAATTGTAAACTATTTAAGATTTATAAAATATATAAACAATATGTTTTAACCATGTATCAAGTTTTTCTCTTGAAAAAGTAAACTAGTGCCAATATCTTGAATATAAATATTAGTGGTAAAATATAAATTCTCTGGGACAAAAATGTTTGTTTGTAGAACTCCTATTGGACAAATAATATTGTATAGTCTTTTTTAATGTTAAAGTTAGGAATTTATTCAAAAAATTTAGCAAAATTTTTATAACAATTTTAGCAAACTAAATTTTTGATTTTTTAAAATTTTTAAACTATTATATCTTAAAAAGGAAAAGTCTCATACACTTAAACTGAGTTACAAAAATATATTTATTTTAACTAAAAAGGGAGAATCGGGTGCCCCGGGAAAAAAAGGTAATGACGCTACACCAGGTAGAGATGGTAAACACGGAAAAGATGGACTTCCCGGTAGAGATGGAAACCCAGGTCAACCAGGAAGACAAGGATTCAGGGTAAAATTATTTTATATATATATATCAATTCTTTTTTTTTCAAATCAATAATATAAATTTTTCTTTATTTTTCTGACGTGAAGCCGCCAATAAAGTTTAATTATTCTTTGTAGGTAGAATTACAGTGTCAATTTCTTGTCTTTTCTATATTATTTTACAAGAGTATATATATATAGTATACTCCGTTCTTTTAAATAAAACTCTTTTACCTTCATTCCAACATACAAAAATAAGTATTTCCAAATAAAATTTAATCTTTTTTTCAGTACGTTTTGTTTATCAAGCCTATTTTACTATGATCTATTTAAAGAAACAAATATCCCTAAATGTTTTTCATATGGAATCATGTTAATCAATCTATTTTTAGCATATTCAATTCTTTTTAATATTACTTTATATATTTTTTTAAATAATTTTAAATAAAGGGAGGCGCAGGGGCTCCTGGAAATGATGGTGATCCTGGAGCTGATGGTTCTCCGGGTAAAGAGGGTGCCCCAGGAGAGGCAGGAGGGCGTGGGAGGGATGGAACACCTGGCAAACAAGGACCCAAAGTAATAATATATAACAAGAATCATTTATTTTGTTATAAAAAAATTATTATCTTCTTCTTTATCAAGATTCTGCTATCATTGATTTAAGGAGTGGTCAAATATATATTTTTTTAAATTACGTAATATGTAAATCATCGTCATATGAATAACTAACTGATATCTACTATATATTGATCATTTGACTTAGATTATTGCAATTTATTATGATTTTGTATTTTGAAGAATGATGTTTATCTTTAGGCCAAATAATCAGAGTTAATGGGAATAATCTGAACTATTAAACTTTATCAAAATTTTGGTATAATTATTTACTTTATGATATTAGGAATTTTTAATTGTAAGAAAGGTAAAAAAAATAATTGATTTAAGTAGGTAATTAGGCATCAATAAAAAAACGTAGTTCTTGTTCTCCAAAATGTTTTGTTCTTAATTCATGGTTTAAATAATCAAATGTAAATGAGTGAATAGACTTTTAATTCGTTTTCTTAAAAACATCATAAATTTACTCAAATTATTATGTAATTCTTTCAAGGGCCCAGCAGGAAATCCTGGTTCTGATGGAAGGGATGGAGATCAAGGCGAAAATGGAAACGATGGCTTTCCGGGTCAAGATGGTGAACCAGGTAGAGATGGAGGACCAGGGGTTGATGGAAAAATAGTAAATTATTTAAGTCTATTGTTTGTAGGGGGTAAGAGGGGGGGGGGGGGGTTAAAGTTAAAATATTATTTAATTTATATAATGGAAATTAAAAGGGGGAGGGATAAAGTTAAAATATTATTTACTTTTATATAAATTAAAGGCTCTAGTAAAATCTTTAATGGCAACGGTTCTAATATTTATTATTGATAAGCAGATTTAAATTAATTTACTTATGTATAATGTATTATTCAATAAGATTAATGGCTAGTTATTTAAGGTACATTCATGCACGAGCAAATCATTATAGAAAACATTCTGTTTATTAATTTAGACTGAATGCCCAAAGAAAATAATCGTAAGAGCTATGGTCCAAATTATAAGCTTTTCTTAATGCAGAATAATTATTTTAAGCAAATGACCTTAAAAAATTTTACAGATAATTTTGACATCATTGTTAGTAAATTCCCATTTCCGCACTTAAGTATAACGTATCTATGCACTCTATGCAAATATCACAAATAAAAAAATGAAATATAGGGAGCCCCAGGTAGAAATGGTAACGATGGTCAGGCAGGTTCAGATGGACGACCAGGTAGAGATGGTCAACCAGGTTTTGACGGTTCAGCAGGACGAGATGGGGATGCTGGCTCAGATGGCGATGCAGGTCAATCAGGAGACTCTGGTAAGCCGGGAAAGGATGGGGCTGCAGGTAACCCAGGACAAGATGGTGCAGCCGGTAATGATGGAAAGCCTGGACAAGATGGACTGCCCGGATCACCCGGTATTGACGGAAAACCCGGAGCACCTGGAATTGATGGGCAAGCGGGCATTCCTGGCGGCCCCGGTAACGATGGATTACCGGGAAACGATGGCTTTCCGGGACTCGATGGTGATTCTGGCTTAGATGGGCAGACAGTAAGTTTTTTTTAAGCTAACATATTTAAAATTTTATTTTTTTTGTACTTTATGACTCTTTTTACATTATTTGATTAATGTGATTAAAATAAATGTGACAATAATTTTTATTGCTTTTAAAATTTTTAATTTAAAAAAAACCTTTAAATATTTTTAATATTTTTTATAATTATTTATGAGTTGAGGTTGAGGGTATTAATGTTTTATTATAGTTATTGTAAAAGAATTATATATTTATGAGTTGAGGGTGTTAATGTTTTATTATAGTTATTGTAAGAGAATTATATATTTATGATTGCGAGGTAATTTTACTTATTTTTTATTAATTAATTTTGATTTGCGTCCAAAATAATTTATTATCTATGGTTTATCATAATTTATCATATTCTGAAAGTTTCTAGAATACTTAGTATTAACCCGAATACATGTCTAAAATCTCACACTTTCCGGTTCTATAATGGTCCCGGCCCCTATATTAACATCACTGTCTAAAACTCAAAATTAATATCGACAGGGAGCCCCAGGTGAAAGAGGTGAAGCTGGTGCACCAGGATTAGATGGACCTCAAGGACCCATTGGTTCTCCAGGCTCATCCGGGCCTTCAGGTAGACCAGGATCCCAGGGGTTGGCGGGATTAGATGGAGCACCAGGCAAGGATGGTCAACCAGCTGAACGTGGACCGCCTGGAGAAGTGGTAAACTACATTTTTTTCCTAAATGTAAAATTTTAGCATTACTTCAGAATTAAAATATACTGCATTCATTTTTAATTTATAACTCAAATCATCGTGTTTATTTGTTTTTTTATATTCATCTGTTGATTTATCCTTAATTTTTTTAAATTAATGTAGGAATTATTTATTTGAACAATTTTATTAATTTTTCATTTCAATTTTTTTTGAATGTTATATAACATAATATAAATCAATCCTAAATAACATTAAGGCATTGCGCATTTCTAGCGGATACTTAACTCCCCCCCCCCACTTGCCTATTATAATAGTTTTAATTTAATAATCAGGGATTCAGAACAAAAACCTTTTTGGGTTCCCGTTCTGGTGAAAAAAATTGTTCCGTTCTACCTCCGTTTTAGTTTTCAATGATCAGGAAAGTTCCTATAAAAATATTTAATCATATTTGTTCACATTTTAATTAATCTTTCATTAAATGAATACATTGAAGCAATAATATATTTCTAAAAGATTAACATTTATATTGGTTCTTTGTGGTGTAAGTACAAATTTGAGTGTCGAAAAACAACGTTTAACACTTACCTGGCTATGGATGATTTTAATATATCAAAAATAAAATCCATTTAAAATTTTATTTAATAAGAAAAATTTAATTTCATAGAAATAAAAGCAGTTAAATAAATTTTTTAAATTTGATAAAAATGCTTTTCCTCATTTTTAATTTTTTAATCTTTTAATCTACTACTTTGCTAATTGTTATTACTTTGCTAGTATTGCATAGTTTAATATGATTAATCTGATTAGAGAAAATAAAAAGAACTTAATATATGCAACTGTTAGATGGATTAAAAAATATAATTTTTTTTATTCTTTTATATAAGAATAAATAAGAAATTTATATATCTTTTTAGGAACTTTCCGGGACCGTTCTAAGAAGATTCAGGAATACACGCTCCGTTCAGGGAACGTTCCGAAATTTACAAATTATAAAATGTTAAAATAATTAAATAATCGATATTTCTGAAATCGGATATTTCATATTTTTTTTAACATTTTATAATTTGTAAAGTTTTTGAGTCCTAATCAGAAATGAAAAGAATTTTTCCCAAAAAACGGTGTTACATTTAGTAATTTAATGAAACCTTGATCCTTTGAACCGTTTTAAATATGAAACTCGGGGACTTTTTAATTTATTTTTTAATATTTTTTATATTATAAAATAATAAATATGCGATCGTGTGGATATTGGTGGAAATTTTTTGAATTCAATATTTTTCAAGTTATAAGAATCTTAATGAAATGGATATGTTCATTACTAGGTCAATCACAACAGAAACTTTATAGGCCCAAATGATATATCAACCCTTACTCAAGTATTGAGCGTTTAAGGAGGGATCTTAAGTCGAGCATTCCCAGAACTGGAAAAAAATCGTCCTTTCATTTATATATATGTGAATTCTTATTTTCGTAATATTAAAAATATGATAAATTTAAAAATCAAATTTTTAAATGATATAAATTTATATAGAACTATTTTTGTTTTTCCTAAAAATATATATCTATTATGTTTATTCAAATAAATTGCTTGTAATATTAAAGAATTGTGAAAATTTTAACAAAAAAAATTATAGTCCTCTAACGTAGTAACATCTACTATAAGCACACGCCTTTCCCATTTTTAATGTAAAATTAAAGAATTTTTAAAATTTTCACAAAAAAAAATTTTCAATATAAACGATCGCATATTTATTATTTTTTTAATAAAAAAGATATAATAAATAAATAAAAATTTTAAAAAAATAATATTAAAAATTTCCCTGAGTTTCAGTGACTTACCAAATATAATATTGTTTTTATTTATTTGTTAACGACCAGCTTAAAAATCTCGAAACACGAAAGGTTTGATGGAGCTTTTCTGCACCTCGGAGATTTGAAATCTTTATTATAAAGAAAAATCTGTATTTTAATCTTTGTTAGCATCTTATTTAATGTTAAATTATATTCTGAATCTATATTGAATAACTTTTAAGCTAATATAAATTGAGGCAGAAATTTTAACTTTCACCCTTAAAATAATTTTTAAAAAAGGAAGATTATTTAAGAATCTTAAATATTAAATTGATAACTCCATTATTATGAAAAGTTTTCTTATGAATTACATAAATAATTTGATTATTCTAAACGAAAAAGGACATTATAAACCATAAAAAAATTAATTAATATTCTCTCAGGGAGATCCCGGCGAATCTGGAGCTCCAGGAGCCGATGGAAGACCAGGTTTCGCTGGTACAGCTGGCAAAGCGGGTAAAAAAAATTTCGGCACTTTTTATTATTTATGAATTCATATAAACGAAAGAAATGCTACAAAAAAAAATGGCTTCTTATTTTTAAAATTTTTATATCGCACGTTCACAAAATTTAATTGACAAAAATTTTAATGTAAATGTGAATAACCAAGATATTAGAGACTGTCAAATTTATGAATACAACTCAATATACAGATTTTTAGGAATTAATTCACGATTGTACTTGATTTCTAATCTTACAAGATTTTAATTTAGATATTGTAAATAATTATATTTATTTTAAAAATAAGGATCTAGGGGATCTGCTGGAAGAGCAGGTGAGGCAGGCGCCCCTGGTAGAGATGGATCTATTGGTAAGGACGACAATTGCAATTGTCAAGTCTTCAGCATGCCTCAAATTGGGCTAGGAAGTTCAACCTATGTCATATGGGGGCAAACTACTTGCCCTAGATCTACCAATGCACAACTTCTCTATACAGGTTTAATTTTTAATTAATTTAATATTCTTGAAACAGTGGTGTGTGTGGCTGATATTTGGTGAAAAAACGAAAAGATTAAATTTTTGTAATTAGTATCCAAGATCAATGGAAATTTCTTAATTTGTTGCTGAGACTATCATCTATTAAACATAGTTTTTTATTAAAAGTAAACGTTTAAATAAATATGAATAAATTGTTAATCAATTACATCAGATTGGAATGTAAAATCGATTTTTATAGATAAAAATGACCTAAAATTCTATATATTAAATTAAAATCCTCCAAAAATTATTAATAAGTATTTAATTATATATTCATAAAATATTTGGAGGATTTTTTTAAAAAAATCTTATAAATTAAGGTATTGCCGCAAGCGGTCATTTTTACTTAACCGGAAGCGGAGGTGATTATCATTGCTTACCAGACAACCCAACCTTCTTCAAATTTACCGACAGTATCGACAGTAAAAGCAAAATCTACGGTGCCCAATATTTGATCAACCCAGCTTCTAATCCTTTCAGATCAGGTAGAGGAGGGGTTTCTGGGATAAAAACCGGAGGAATATCGGGAAAGACAGTAGTTTGCGCTGTTTGTCACGTGACCCGCAACAGTCAACTCATGATTCCAGGTAGCTTCAGATGTCCCGATGGCTGGACTAACGAATATAACGGCTTCTTGATGGCTAGCTTGGAGAAGCAAACTAGAACCTCCTTTATTTGTGTAGACGAGGAAGCTCAATCCACCGGTAGAGCTGGAGGCTCCAATCTTAATCTCATACCAGGTCAGGGTAAGAATAACAAGGACGGATCCGTGTTGGTTGTTGTAGAAGTTAAGTGCGGCAATTTGCCTTGCAGAAAGTACCCAGATGGATATGAATTGCCTTGTGCCGTTTGTACCAGATAGGAGAAAATGAAACTACTTATTGGTTTCTTAAACCTGCATTTATCTTCTTATTTTAACCGCCTGATAAATATAATTTATATTCTTTTTAAACTCGAAATCAAATTTTTATGTAATTTTTGATTAAATATATTTTTTTGGAATCTATTTTCTCATTTTAACCGCTTGATAAATATATTTATATACTTTTACTTTTATTTTGTTATAATTTATATAACTTTAATTTTTATGCAAAAAATTAATAATAATAAAAACAATTCGCAAAGCAAAACAATTAAGAAATCATTGTCTATTTTCCGTTTTGGTACTGAATTATATAAATCAATCTTTTATGGTAAATCTTTTCATAATAATTCCTTTTCAGTTATTAAAAAATAGAATTAAGTAAATATGATTAAAATTTCTATTACATTTAATATAAAAAAAATATATGGATTTTTTTAGTTGGTTTGAGGAAAATTTTCAACAGTAAACTTGGTTTATGAGATTGTTTCGACAAGATAACTGAGCTTCCGTTATTTATATCTACAATAATTTATTAATAAAATTCTCTAAAAAGTGGTTTTATAAAGGAAAACTCGAATTTACCTATATTAATTTAACCCAGGCGCGTACGCAGCGGGAGGGGGGGGACAAATCCCCTCCCCCCCCCCGAACCAAAGCCAAAAAATGCAGATGCCGGATATATTTTTCAATAATATTAATGTTTATATTAATTTATATTTGTTAATATTTATTCCTATCTCATATTAAATATATATTTAATTACATTTATTATCACATTCATAAGTTATTTTATCAATTAATTTCGATTTCAAGTTTTCCGGTGTAATATTTACTTATTATTTTCAAATTTTTAGTGACGTAATACTTATCTATCATTTTCAAATTTCTAGTCAAATAATAATTATTTCTGAAACTTCTTGTCCAACAGGGAGAAAGAAATTGCAACCTTGTCCAACGAGATAGAGTCTCTGCCATCAAGCAGTAACAGCTTTTAAGGAGTTAGAAGAGCCAATTATTTGCTATTACTGAATCACAATGGCCTGAAAGAAATATTTCCTCAGAAGCAAGAAAATTATTGGATTCAATGCTTATTCCAAATTTTTTTTTCTCATTAGAATGTATTATTTAATTATACAACTATTTTATGTATTACTTTTCAAAAACATGACATTGACTTAGATGAGAATAGCGGAGAGCATTTTATTATAACTCAAGGAAATTAGGGCTAATGTTGATGAAGAATTTCATATTTTATATGGTATTGTTGAGTCAAAAGCAGAGCTATACGTGTTTAATATTTGTCTCCCTCGACTTGTAGCAAGGCAAGCTCATCGTTAAAACATTAATATGGATCAGTAGACGAGTATATCTGATAAACAGATACATTTATAACCCAAATAAATGAATGGTTTTTTATTCATCATGCAGCACTTACCAATCTGCAAATATTACTTCCACAAAAGCCTTCCCAACCTTTTTCAGATGGTGATAGAAAAAAAAATATTTGTTAGATTTTTATCATGAAGATGTTAAAGTATCTTATGATGCCTTATTAGCTGAATAACTATGTTTATAAGATTAACTATGGTTGATATAGTCCCAAAAAATGCTATGGATGCTCTGCATTATTTCAAACACATTTTTGATCCCAATGTATTAAAAGGGTTTATAAATATTAGCAACTCTTCCCATTAATGAACTAATGAGAGAACATTCTCTTTTTTAAGAAGAATAACAGAGCCCTGCAGAAGTACCATTTGGATTTTTTTTTAAAATTTTTATGGCCCGGTCAGGTTTTTTTTTAATTTTCAGGCCCGGCCCGGTTTTTTTTAAATAAAATTTTCAGACCCGGCCCGGATTTTTTTAAAATAAATTATATTTATTTTTGATTATTATAGCTAATAATAACTATTTCCAATATAGGCTGTTTTAAAATATACAGCCCGGCCTGGGTGTATTTTTAAAAAAATAAATTCAGGCCCGGCCCAGGTGTTTTTTAAAGGTATATTTAAAAAATTAAAATACGGTCCGGCCCGGGGCCGGCCTACAGGTCTCTGAAAAACATACCAAGAAGTACAACTTCTTAAAGTAGATTGAAAGATTTGGATCTTTTGAATATTCATAGGCATTTGACGACAAGCAAAAATGAAATAATTGAAAAATTAGCTCAATCCCAACGAAGATTGGGTTTTACATTGTAAATATATAACATACAAAATACAATTATTCCTAAGAAACTTTTTGTGTATTAATTTATATTTCAACATTTAAATTTTTTATACTTTATATATAAATTTTAAAGGCTCAAAAAATTCAAATTTCTATTTTGGGTCATTTAGGTGATTCTTATAGTGGTTATATTCACTTTATATTTTATAATTCACATTTATTTTATAGTTTTTCATATACCGCCAGTTATATCCGTTTATTATTTTTTAATTCACATTATTTTATAGTTTTTTATATGCCGGTTTATACATATAATTTTTTTATAATTCACATTAATTTAAAATTGTGTATTAGAAATAGTTATTAGTCATAATAAATTTACGATTGATATTTAAAAAAAAACAATAATATTAAAAAAATTTATTATCCCCTCCCCCCAGACTAAATTCCTGCGTACGCGCCTGATTTAACCTAATTGTTAAATAATCTTATAATGATCCTGTTTTTTTGTAATAATTCACGGATGTTAAATGACACATCAATCCATAATTTGCAATTAAAATCTAAAAAAATTTGTCTGAATTTCAAAGTATAACAAAATGTAACTTTAAGCCAATAGATTTAGTTAAGGAGGAGAACTTGATGACTTGATTAGTATTTGAATCAACCCTGCAAAGCTCATAAGAATTTAGTTGATAAAATATTTGAGAATGAGGTAAATCATTAAATTTTTATTCGAATTCTGCATAATTCATAGACAAATAAAAAATAATTAGAAAAAAATATAGGAACATTATTGAAGAATAAATAATAAGAATTGAAGATAACAGAAAATTCTTTGAAAAACTTTAAAAATTATCATTATAAAAGATTATAATTTCATTGATAGTAATAATTTCCTAACATTAAAAAGTAAATAATAAGAAAACGAATTGATTGAAATAAATATGAGAAAATAATATATTATATAAAGCGATATCTTAATGTGTCGTTTAGGAGATATTTTGAGCTGTTTTACACATTTTAATCGAATTGTGTAATATCGTGGTATATATAATAAAAATCTATATTTTATAATTGAATGACTATATAATTGTTAGAAAAAATTAACGCATACATTGCAGGTTCTAATTGTAAAAAATGATTATCACAATCGCTACATAATAGCTTCTATTTTTATATAATATTAAATTTATTATAGAAATAATAAAAGATCCTAATAAAATTCAATTACCAAAATGTACATTCAAATTACACATTCATTATATTTTAAGTGTCTTCATAAATTAACGTTGATTATTTATCATAATACTATAATAATTCGATCATTAAAAAAAATTGCGGTAGGGATTATATAAAAACAATAGTTATATTCCTAGACGATGGCCTATATATATCTAGCAAACTTTCCTGCTTTTAAAAAAAAAATTCCAATATAGTTTTTGCAATCCATGTAAAAAAAGGCTAATTTTGTTTGATTTGGAGAAAATGAAAAATTTTGAGTCATTCAAATCTTGCGGTAAATAAAAGGATTCAGCAATTTATTTTTTAGTAAAGCACGAGGGAAGGAAAAAAAAATGAAAGTAGCGTCATGCATAAATAACAAATATAATATATGGATAATTTTTCCCGAGATATTAAACTGAATCAATATTTAAAAATTTTGACATTGAGATAATTTTTTTTATAAATTTTTATATAAAATTTATTTAAATAATTTATAAATAATTTTTAGGATACATTTTTTTTGGCAAGTTTCTACTAAGATTTTGAACTATTTTTAAAAAAAAAATTAAATATCGAATCCCTGGGGAAAAAAAAATTAGAAAGTTTTTCCAAGATGAGCCAAGAGCAATTGACAAATGGCTTGGTAATGAAACGTTACCCCGGCTATCACGAATAAATGCCATATGGCATGAGCGAAAGGGATAGAGCCATCGGATCGAAAGAAAAATATACCGGATACGTAAGCCAGGCCCCCTTTGACAAATTGGGATAATCCTGGGTGGTCTGTGTGCTGAAATAATTTATAAGACATTATATTGAACAAAAAATATTATTATATCATACTTTCCTCCTTATACTTTCTTTACAATCCTTAACTTCCCTCCATTTCTTTCTAGCCTATTTAATTATAATTGGCGTCCTCCTTTCTAACCCCCTCCCCACATATTTTCTATTATCATTTTATTGAATATCAACACAAATGTTGTTATTATACCATATCTCCCACCCTCAGAAATGAACGCCCATCATTAAAACTTAAGCCTAAATAAATTCCGAAATTTGAAACAAAAAAAAAGGTTATCGATTTGGAATAAATGATAAATATGATATTATATTTGTCATTCTTTATAACTCATATTGAATTCCAACTAATTTCATTATATACCTTCATTTAAAAACTATACATTTGAGATTTATAACTCGTTCTAACTCAATAAAATTAGCTCGAAATAATGGCGGCAGTGTTTAACCAAATTTAAACCAAGTCCTATGTCAGTGTTAAGATTAGGTTAAGATTTATTTTATTTTAATATTTTTTTAAAATCTGCATTCTTTTTGAGACAATCATTAATTTTAGTTAACAAAACTGTCTACTTCTTTATAGTGTTGTTAAAGGATAATTAAAAGTCTAAATATAATGTCCCTTTTTTGTTAATATTTTTCAAATGGTATTTCTTTATAATTTCATAAAATTATTAAGTAATGATCTAGATATAATTGTTAGAATTTTCTAAATATTAATCAAAAAAGATATATTCTTTAGGTTAAATTATGTTTCAACATTATAAATGTTTGAGTTAAAATTTATAGTTTAAATAAAATTATGTATGGGATAAATAGCATAAATGATCCTGTTTGTTGACTGGCCAGGCCATCACCCTTTAATGTTTTATATATTGAGCCAAATTATCTCAAAATTAGTCAAAATGTGAAAGGACTGAAATAAGTATTTAGTATAGATGAGCGGTTAATTTTAAGCATATTTAATATCCAGATAATAATTTTAAAATCATTAAATAGATGAATCTAATCAAAAAATTATACTTTAATAACATTAATAAATATCCTAATTATATTTTATCTAGGAATTGCTTAACAATTCAATATTCGGTTTCTGACCCCCATAATTTAAAAAGATCGATGATTGGAAAATTACAATTTTAAAAATAATTTTTAGACTACTAAATACATCTAATATTAAGAAAGGTTCAAAGATTTATTTTTTGAATATAATAATGATAATAATAAATTGGGTGAATATAATTTTACCAATAAAGAAAATGAATCCCATTTGATGTCAGTAAATATACTAAACGAATTGCGAACGTAATTAATCATTAACTTATATATTATTATATATTTATTTTTAGCTATGCCCACGAATCCATAAATCCTGCAATGGGGGAAATGGAGGATTATTTGTCAGACCCAGTGGTACAGATCACCCAGAATGTTTTGGGATGGTTTTCTCAGTAAACAAATCGTTTTCCAAGTCTATTCAAATGGCTAAAGATTTTATGGCACAACAAATGTCATCAGTAGCCGATGAGAGAGTTTTCTCAAGAGCTGTTGATACAATGAAGAAGAAAAGAAATAGGATGTCGTCATCCACTCTAAAGCAGACCCTGTCTTTAAATTCATGAGATGTGAATCTTTTAACTATTTGTGATAATATTTGGGAATAGCTATATTTGTGTATTATTATACTATTTATATTGTTTATACAATATTTTTTACATTATTTATAAAATAAAAAATTATAATATTATAAAATATTTATAAAAATCAAATTATTGCGTCAATTTATCTATCATAATTAAAAATTATAATCTAAGATAACAGAAATTATTGATAAATTTTATTTAAAAATTAATTTAATTCATATATGAGAAAAATAATAACATCAATATGTAAAAAATTTGTTAGGTTGAGAATATTATTCAATTTGTTGAATATCTATAGAATCAGGGCATAGACTTTTAGCTGCCCAGGAAGATAAATTATGCAGCCCTTTAAAAAAAACCTTTTAACCCATTCAGCAAATTGTGATATATAACATTGCATCAAAAAGGGAGATTTGTAAAAATATATTAAAAGTATTTAAATTGATATCGAATTCTTACAAGTTTGTGTTATGAGGGGGTATCAATAAAAATATTCCAATTTAAAAGTTGGTTTTTTTTTTCATTTTAGATTTTAATTTTTTCCTTTAAATTTTAATGATAATTTATTTAATCTAAAACCCAATCTAAAAAATGCCATATTTAGTTTACTTCATGATCATTCAACTGAAGTATTTGCTTTAATAAAAACTATCAGACCAAAATATATAATAAATTAAGCTATACAAATGGAATTATTAGAATTGACCGATTTTATGTAAAAGTATTTCCAAAAAAAATGCATTAAAAAGAGAAATTTTGAATGATTAATGTTAGCTTAAGGAAAACACAATCATGTGCCATAAAGAATATCTATTGCTAAGAACATTTTTTTATAAATTTTTATTGATAATAAAATATTTTTATTAAAGTTATGAATATTTTATCTCAAATTATATTCAATAAATTGATCTCCTGAAATCTTCCTTTAAAATTAATTTATTAAATTCCCATGGCTAGAAATATATTATACTCAGATTAATTTTATCAGTGTCAGAAGTAGAAATGATAAAACATAAATTTAAATATTCTTGTAAAGATATTAAGGATTATGTAACAAAAAATAAAATTCAATGAATGCATAAAAAATATGAATAAATAATATATATTTATAAAATTTTCAATAATTTGTTAATACAACAAAATCAAAGGAAATTTTAATTACCTTTGATTTGATGCCCATATAGAATTTTTATTTTTTTTTTATCTAAATACCAAATCCAACCAGTAGGAAGAAGAGAATGATATTTTAATTACCTTTAATTTGATACCCATATCTATATTTTCTGTTTGTTAAAATATTACCGACCCTCTGGGACTGGACTTGCCCATTAAGGAGAGGTTGGCCTCCTATTATATAAATATGGACATATATATTTACATAAGGTCAAAAAAAGACAATTTTTATAATAAATTTGAGATCCAGTAATGCATCGCGCTAAGCTGCACAAATCTTTAGTTAAAATATTCAGCGGCGATTCGCTAGTTCGATTTCAAATCAGGGTATATCACTTTTACTTTTTCGCAAATAGTATAAAAAATATGTGACATAAAATATTTATTATCACTGGATGAATTAACCTAATAAGATTATTATATAAAATAGATTGTATAATTCGTTATGAATTCTTATATATGATATAATTTATATATTATCGACTCGGGAGACCGGTCAAACGGCTCATTGAGCCGCTCGAGTCTGAGCCGTTTTTTACGACTCCGGCTCGAGTTCAGAGTCGAATAACAACACTAACTAGAACTAGTTATTTGTGAGAAAACGTATGCAGCTATTTATTTTCAAAAGTAACTAAATCAACACTATCATTTTCACATTTGATTTGTTTTTTGCTATAACAAGCCAAAAAAATAACTTGTGTTTTTTTGTTTGAAACATCACGTAAAACAATACGTAGAATATGACATAAAATAAAATGATGAAAATACCATATATTCGTTAACAATGTAATAAATTTATTTAAAAAAATTTTTTAATATAAATCACGACCAGATTTTCTATACTTGATGTAATTAAAAAAACTGATTTTATTTTTGTCATTTTTTAGCATCTATTCATAATTAATTTAGGTTTTATTAATATAATAATTTTATTACAATATGCCCGGTATAGTAAAAAAATTTCTAAAAATCGTTTTTTTTCTTCCATTTTATGAGGCCAAATTAAACATTTGTCTAAAAAAAACCTGTTATCAGCTATGTTCGTTAAGAACGAATACTTTACTTTATAATATGTGATCCTTTCCCTATGCAACTATAATAACTAATTTGTTGAAGTATGTTTAGATAATTTATACATATTAAGATGACATATCTTAATATATTATTGTTTCCGAATAGTAAATCAGCTTTAAACAAAGCGTTATATAATTATTTGTATCTTTGAGCGATCCTTTTTGCCTCACAACTTTGCCAAGAAGATAAAAATTTGAGGGGAAAAAACGTATGCCATTTTATTTGGTAACCTCTCTCAAATAAAGTCTAAAATATCTATTTTATATTAATAAGTTATTTATAACAATGCCATTTTTTCCGGTTATTTCAAGGACAATATCAAACTTGATAATGCGTTTTTATAAATCGTCACCAGAAAATTAGATTTCCATCTCCACTTTTTGTAATTTTATAGAAGAGCAATTATAAAAATTAAGTATCTATTGTTTTCAATAGGATATTCAACCTTATAGTGGCTTATCATTTAACTTATTTTATATATTTTTTTTGTGTAAATAAAATAGTATATAAAAAATTGTTATGTAAAAAAAAGCCATTTTTGAAAAAAAGTGAATATAGATTAATCTAATTCTCAGATGACGATATGTATAATAATATTTTTGTTCCCGCTTGTTAAAGTGCAGATTCCTATAAAATCTATAGATGCGGGGATAAAAATTCGTAATAAAGCCCTAAATAGTGAAGGTCAAAGACCTGATCGAGACTGGGCCCTAATCAAATAACTAGATAGATTTTTTTAAATCGTAAAACATTCCATTACAACCTGGGACCAAAACAACAGGAACTATTAAATCTATTGTTGGACTTTTATTTTTTTTTTGTTTTGCTTTTAATATTTTGAGGGTTCTTTTTATTTGAATTCACTATTTAGAAAAGAATTAAAGAATTAACTCTAATTTCAATAAAAATGACATTTTTATTCTTATTGTTTTTTTTAAATTTTTGCTGTTTTTTTTTGTTTTCGGTTCTTTTAAAAGTGGCATCTTTTTGCTTTTTTTAAAGTACATCTTTGTCTTATTTTTTTGCATTTTCCCCCCAGCCCTACCATTATTAAGTGGCAATTTTATGGATTTGGAGATTATGTTTTGGTCAATATAATATATTTTATAGGCATTTTAAATGGCAGAGTAAACGACCTTAAGGTGGTTAAGAATAAAGATAATAGTGAGAGGTGGTCATGATTATTAAGAAAATATTTAATCCATTTCGAATCATTTTGATGAAAAGATTATTAAAATAAGATATATGATTGAACGGGGGAAAAAATATTAACTATAGCAAAAATATTTAATATTATTATGAATAAATATCTTATTAAATTAATTTTTATAAATATAATTGCAAAACAAAATATCAGAAATCTCAAATTAAAATATTTAGAATTTTAAAAAATATTTAATGGCACGGACCAAAAAGACCGATCCAAGATTAATTGAAACTGGACTAAATCGAAAACCATTTTTAAAAGTCGGTCCCGGTTCTAAGTCTTTTCGATCAGAACTGTTGGCCTTCGCTAACCCTAAAAATTAAATTTTTCGGCTAGAGCTCGGCTTCAAATATTAAAGGCTATTTTTTAATTTAATATACTAAAAAAGAACGATTGTTTTGTCTTAATCCCAAGAAATTCTAATTAACATTTTTATTTAAAAAGAAAACATTATTTTCGGTTCTATATGAAAATTTATTTAAGCCTGACCCGTATTTCAAATGGGCTTAGGGCTGATTTACACCCTATCCTATAGCTGATTATTGTTCCATCCATAGGCGTAACCAGGATTTTGCTAGGAGGGGGGGGCAATATTAGATTATTATTTTCCCCATGAAATTTATGGGAGATCTTTAATTGTAAACCTTTGGCTATATTAGATTTTTATAAAAATAATCTTGGGTTTTCACCTTTTTTTATCATTTTTTATAAAAATTTTGAATTATAGCAGTTATTTAAAAAGTTATTAACTTTTACTAATTTTCCTTTTAAATTCTTCCTTATAATTATATATTGTTTACATTTTTGGAGGAGAGGAGGATGGAATGGGGGGGGGGGGGTAGGAATTTTTTTTTATTAGCTTAAAATGATATTTACGAAAAGAGGAAAATTTGGGATGGGGGTGAAATTTCCCCCTTTCCCCTCCATTGGTTAAGCGCATGATTCCATACATTTTGGTGGGGAGAAAATATTGAGACTTTTTTCGATTTTATGTTTATATCATATTAAATATGTTATAAAATAATTTTCCATCTACAATTTTTTTTAAATGATTATATTAATATGGCGATTTATTATTGGGGTTGGGGGGGGGGGGGGGGAAGAAGGTTACAAGGTATATGCATAAAAACAAATGCTTACATAATAGGCTATTATAACTGCTGGAATGACGCCTATCATGAGGTACAAAATTATTTCATAGTCATGTAAGAGCCTTTGTCAATATGATATATAAAAAAATTATTTTCAAAAATATAATCACATAAAAATTATTTTTTTAAAAAAAAGAAAAGAAATCAAGTAAAACATTTCCATGATAATTATCTTGAAGCAATCTTATTTCTTACGATATTTAAGTTATAGTATTAATATCAATAAATTAGGTTTTATTTATCAGAGATCTGCAAGCCCGTTTCGGAATCTAGCCTGAAAAGTGGTATGATTTTAAAAGAATTGGTTTAAAAATAAAAAATGAATTATGAATCCAAGGCCGAGATTAAAAATCAACTTTTTATAAAAAATCATTAGCGAAAGAATTAAAATTTTAAATTATATCAATTAACTAGTTTGAAAAATTTTATAATGCGATCATTTTAACATAAACAGTTTATAAAATATAGCCGAAATTATTTCAAATGATCAATATCAGAGTTTGAAAAAATTTTCGTCCAAAATTTTGAGCAAAAAAAATCTGAGGATCACAAAATTATCTGGCCCAGCTTAAAAATAAAAGCATAACTCGGAAATATATTTTTTTTCAAAAATTCGGGTAAAATTTTCAAATCCAAGCCAGGCCAAATAATTTAATTTTTGCAGGTCTCCATAATTTGTAGAACAGAGTTGGAAGTGGCTTATTTTTCGTTTAATAACTTTTCATATTCAAAAAAAAAATTGTAAAATAAAAAAGATAAATTATAATATTACTTTATAATAAATTCAATCATAATTTAATACTTGTTAGAATTCGTAATTATTCGTAAATTTTATTGCTAATTTATTATGCGAGTTAAGTGAACGCTTATTAATTTTATTAAATAATTCTCGAAAAGAAATCTGTAAAATTGATCATATATATTGTTTTTGAAAAAAATGTATATAATATTGTTAAGTCAATCTAACGCGTATTGCCTTGGTGGTCTATATCTACAAAATTGCCTGAAATTTATAGAATAGGTATTCTACATATGCTAGAATAGATTTAAGGGAAAAATTAGAATATTAAAATTTTTAAAAAGGAGCTATTGGTTTAAGGTTGGTAAATAGCACTATCATTTTTACCAGGGATTGAAACCGAACTCGATTAATCCCGTTTTTTGGTGAACCCTAACCTGAACCCTTTTTTATTATTTGCCCTGAAGCCGAACCTATAAAATATATACGGTTCAGATCGGATTCAGTTCGGGTTCAATAAGTTTTAAAATATAAATTACTATTTTCTTTAAAAGCCTATAAGATTTAAAAAATTTTACATCAATCATCTTTTCCTTCTATATTAGCTTATATTTCTTACAATCAGATATTTGAAAAATCTTAAAGCTAGAATATAAAAAATATTAGAAGTGATGAAAGCTTATAATATTTCTGCAGAGCAAATTTATACCATCGCCTCTGATAATGGTAGAAATATGGTTATAATCTATTAAATCATTAGACCAAGAATACCAACAGAGAGTGAGGATGAAGACTCTGACAATTTTCCTGATGATGATGACTTTCTTAGCTCCTTAGAGACCGAATTTCATAATTTTCAAAGCCCTTCAATATTAAAGACCCCCTATTTTGTGGTGATTTTAGAATGTGAAACTACATTCGAGTATTTATGGCATTCAATGGGCTTCTCATACTCTCTAGTTTATATAGAAGATGCATTTTTTATAAAATTGAAGGTAGTATTGTTTCCAAGAAATCGTTTTTAATTCTTATATCTTAAATAAAATGACAGGAAGATGACAATTTCTATCAAATTAAGGTCAGGTTAATTAATAAAAAACTAAGAACACTTACAGGTTTAAAGCTTATAAAAAGTTAAAATTTGTTAAAACCAATATTTGACATAGGTGACATTTTTACAATTGAGGAATGGAACGAAATGGATGATATTTTAAAGATACTGAAACCACTAAAATAACAACAAAGGTTTGCAGAGCGAAAATTAATGTTGAGTAGTTTTTATGCTTCGCGGCTAAAATTTCTCTCGAAGATTGAGACGATCGACAGTCCTCTTGCCAATATATTAGCAACTAGCATAAAAATACGGGAACGTTAACTATCTTAGAAATGATGTGCTCCTTTCTGCCCTGTATTTGGATCTAAAACACCAAATTTTAGTATCAGAAGCGACACTTTTATGGCATTTAATAAATTTATGGACGAGAATGCATAATCGTGAGTGTTATTAATATTATAAATGATGAAATTAGTGTATCATCCCTAATGATGAACTAGGCAGAAAGAAAGTATAAATTCTGGGAAGATTACTGGTTAACAAAATAATGATAGAAACATTGGAACTTAATTAACGCGTTTCTTAAATTAGATATATTAACTTAAGTATAATAATCTGTTTGTCCTCTATTTGATATTAAATCAAGGTAGAATATTCCAAGATCAGGATATATACTTCGATATTTGAAGAAATGAAGAAAACCCAGTCTGAAATTGTTAAACTTTCTCAAATTTCTTAACAGTTCCAGCCACGTCAGCGTCGAAAGAGCATTTCTTTCTGTTGCGATATTCAGTTAAATTTGTTTCAGAGCAGATTATGCAAATGAATGTATGGCTTATTCAAATTATTTTGGTATTAATTTTAAAGATAGCCTTTAATTTAACAGACGATGTAATAGAATATTTAAAAAAGGATATTTGGTTTATTATAAAAATACTTTTGGTTTATATAAATGAATAATATTATCAGACAAAATTTATTATGTTATAATCGGGTGATGTTAATTTTATATAAAAGAAACAATTTTTATAATTTAAGAGACTTTAAGTTTTTTAACTTTTACTTAATTTTTTTAACTTTTACTTAATTTTTTCGCATATAATTTTTAATTTTACTTTTTCTTAAATTAATTTTATTTTAATTTTTTTTATGTTTTCCCTTTATATTAATTTATATAACTTATAATTAATTATTAGTATTTAATAAAGGATTCAAACTATAATTTTAGTATTTAATTATATTTTTATTTATATTTTATATTTAGGTTCCTAATCTCCCAATCCAAATTCTCCCAACTATGACAGTATTAAAACTTATCATCTTATAGAACTAAAATGAACAATAATTTATTAGAAGATATAATAATTATAAGGTTGAATAAGCTTCTTAAAATAGATGCATCAAAAATATAACTAATGTCATATTTTTATTTTGTTATATACTTTATTATTCATTATAAATTCTATATTTGTTAAAAGATATGTATATTATATTATAAAGCCAAACTATAAAATTTAATTTGAAAATTTAAATTTTAAAACAATTATTATTTGCCTATTTTTTTTAATATTAAATGTTTGATGTATTATTTCAAATATAAACATAATTTTTACGGGAAAAAAACACTCATATTTAACTTTAAAATTTTTGAAAAGCACCAGCCTGAACCAGTTTTTGCCACACCAAAACCGAACCCTTTTCAAAATGTCAACTTAAACCCGAACCTGAACCCGACAAATTTTTTAAAAAAAGTTTCAATCCCTGTTTTTACACTTTCAAAAATATGATTTTGCCGAAAATGTATTTGATTCCATTCTGTGTAAATAAAAATTGTCAAATTGATCACATTTTATTTATTAAGTAGCAATATGCAAATAGATTGTATCATATTTATATATGGATTAACCTTTCATTTACAACAAATTGGGCGGCGACACCAGATAAGGCTGCTATCCATATACTCCATATCATTAAATGTGTAAATGTGTCACTACCTGGTATACTTAGCCTAGGATGAAAATATAGATATAATTACATATAATGTTGTAAAATATACCAGGGGGTATATGAAGCTGCTATGAAAATGTAAATGATTGTGCGATCACATAAGTGAAATATTGATCTCAATTTTCTATATTATTTTAGGGTTTAAAATTATAAAGTATATATATTTTTTATATATAATAAAAAAATATTGTTTTTGCGTCCATAACTTTATAAATTTTAAAGAAACATAATTATAAAGTTTGAAAATTTAACAAATATGTTTTGACTATATTTTTAATATTAAAAAGGAGGCTTATTTCCGTGATTTTTGATAGTTTTTTGAAGGTTTTTGAGTTAAATTTTTTTGATGTTTTGGGCACAACTTTATGAAGTCCATTTACATTAAATCGCATCATAACTTAAATACAACAAAGTGTAAGCCCCTCTGCCTGAATTGAGAAACTGTAAAATTTAAAAATGAATGAAACCAACAAAAATACTTTTGCTTAGATAAAAATTACAACTAAGTACACAAATTCTTTTTATAATGAATTATTATAAATAAATTGGAAAATCCCTTAAAAAATTTGAAGATGTGTGTATATATATATTATAGCAATTAAAGGTTTGCTTCTTTTTTTTCGTTGTGGGCAAGCTAATATCGATCAGTCAAAAATAAACCAAGCTAAAATGGCCATCCTTTTTAATTTAATAATTAACCCTAAGTGTAACCATAATTTTATTAATTTTTTAAGAAATGTCACAAAATTAGTGGACCTAAAGTTATGGATAAGTCAATATATAGAATTCTACCTAATAAAGAATCTTTTTAAACTTGATTAGAATTATGAAAAATATCAATTTTAAATGATTTACACATAACCTATTCCCGTTAAGTTTGAATAATACTTTAGTGGTTTGACCCAGGGTTGGTTAAATTAATAGGCCAAATTTAGTTGACCTGTCAATTGGCCGGAAAAGTATTTGACCTGGTCAAACACTCTAAAAAATCTGAAGAAAACAAATTAAAAATCTGTATGAAAAAAGAAAAAACATACAAGTGATAACAATGCTGTTTATTTATTGGGCCCCCAATATCAAGGGAGCATATTACTAGTAGTGAAATTAATTAAGTATGTGATATAGAAGTCTGCAAAGTGATTTTTCCGCATTTCGAGCTCTCCGTGCCAGAATTTAAAAAATTTTTGTCCGAGCCCGACCCGAGCACACATTTCTTAGTCCAACCTGACCCGAGCCCGAATAAAATTTTACAATTTGAGTTTGAATATTATAATATCAAAAAAAAAATTAAGTGTATTTAATCATAGTCACCTTAAATAACAGTTTATTTGACGGCCATAATCAAATCAATATTATAAAAAAGTTAAAATACAATCGAATTTAAAAATTATTGTATTGCTATTATATAAAAACAATAAGCATGATTTATATCGAATGCAGATGATATAATAGTTAATATAGACTAAAAAATATAATAATAAACATATTATAACAAAGTGAATAATTGTGATATATAAATAATAAGGTCCACTTTATCTGGCTTTAAACGGGTCCTTTTCTCTTCAAAGGCCTTACTAGCAGCTGATAACGCTCTTTCAGTGCTAGCCGACTAAGCAGGGATATCTAGGAATTTAAGAGCCAAAATACTTAAATTTGAAAAGTCATTATGGTTCGTCTTCCACCAATTTTAAATACTATCATCTTCAATATATAATTTAGCATCTAAGTATTTTTGAAGTTCATCAACTTCAATGCTAGCATCAGAAAACGCATTGTCACCTTCCCATAAATAGAGAAATCCAAAAGCGTAAGTATTTTCTTAAGAAAAAAAAAAATTCATAATGTAATAATTTTAAAAGATATATAATTACTTTATTATTTTTTAATCATAATTTTATTATTTATTTAATGAACCTTTATTCACTACTATATCAGCAGTAGGAACTAGATGGTGAGTTGGTATTTAGATTTATGCTCAATCATATGTTGATTTTCTCGGCATTAATCAACGTGTTAATATGTTGGCACAAATCTTTATAATGTTCTTGGGATAACTCATATCTCGAAATTTTGGGCATAAAAATGTGGAAATTTGGTGGATTAAATCTATTTAAAATTTATCCACCATTATTTCCCGACATTTTTGCGACAGCAGGTTAAGCTGCGAGTTTAAGTTTGGATGAGGTAAAAAACTTAATATTTTGCAATAACACAATATAACTTTGTAAATGGTGGGTTTTAAATCACCCTCAAATTCATCACTCGCAATTTTAAAAGGCGTCAGAAACTTGATATGGTCCCTCATCATTTCATAATCTATATTTTCGAGCATAATCGACTGTCCTTAAGAACTGAGAATCTCCAATATTTTAATGAATTCCATAAAATTAGAAATGTGATTGATTTTCTGAATTATTGAAAAAAAAATTGAGGCAAACGAAAGCCCAATTTCTAAAATTGTAGGGGTCAAAGAAAATGTAAATATAATATGCATTAGCTTAGCAATACTGAATCATAATAGAACTTCAATAATAAATGTAATTTAATAGATGGTTTGTCAATGAATAATATTCATATTATGACTAGGGTAACATCTCTCTAAGTGGGATTTTGTACCATTCTTTAAATTATAATAGACTTGTGATTGTGATATATATTTTGTGAATTAACTAAAACTGAACAATGTATAAATGTGAAAATATGGAAATATCTTTTGGTATTTGATAATAAAAATAGAATTTGCAGAGTAGCTAACAAGCTTTATAAATAAAATGATTCTGAATCTACAAGGATCCTTCGATTTAAAAAAATCATATCTATTATAAAGAAGCAGTTGTTAAAATGGTAGCACTGCATTGGATATAGTTCCTAGTATATTGAGTTACAATTATCTATATCCAAATGAATTCATTGCTGGCAATGTCAGTTGAAAATTTTTTTCCTACCTCTCTATTTGTTCTAATTTTGGTGTGCTCAAAAAAGGATGATCAAATATAAATAATTTTAGTGATCATGTTGAATTTAGGCATGCTGATTATATTTTTACTTTTGATATCACTTGTGAAATATAGAAATTTACATAGCTTAATATTAGAGTTTTTTATACATAAATTTGATCAGGACGGGCATTGGATCTTATAAAAAAAAAGGTATCTTTAACTCTTATATGTATAATCTAAATTAAATTCAATATGTTAATTAAGTTGGGACTGTTGTATCTTATAAGATTAGGGAGTAAAAATAAAAAATTGGGACTAACCTAATATTTTTTTACTCTTGTTTTGAAGAAAACAATGATTAAATAATTAATCTTTCTTCCAGTCTGGATATGTTCAGAAAAAAATAAGCTAGGTTTGGGTTCATGAATCTAAATCCAGGTTTGAAAAAAAGTAGTCCTGGACTCAGGTCCAGGTTTGGTCTGAATCTCTGGAAACTTTAATAGAATAAATCAATGAATCCATTTTCTTAAATAAAATAAATATATATTTAAAAAGAACCAATTAAGAATTTGCTATTTTAAAGGGAATGGCTTTATCTAAATAGGAACAATCTAGACCAGGCCAGTATATCCTTACTTATTATTATTAGTGAATATTACTGTGCAGTCTAAACCATAAAAAATACTTAACCATGGTAGTGATTAGATGTGGAAATTTTTAATTGAATTTTTTTGGCCTAGTCGATAAATTTTTTATTGTAAAATAATTTTGTAAAAGTTGCACAGCCAAGGACATAATAATATTTTATGAAGGAAAAATGCATAGGCCAAATTCTAAGCTTTAAAAACTAAGAAAATATTTTTTAGTCATGATTTCAAAACCTGTAATGATTTTATACACAAGATATTTTTAACATTATCAAACTTATTTTCATTTTCAATTTAATTATAAATTGAATTTTTTTTTATTTTGGTCTTTACATTCCCTCCTATAAAATATATTTGGTGACTAGAAGCTGGCATTGTCTTATTATAAATTTGGTTAGATTACAAAAGAATTTGACCTTCATTGTGCCTATTCTTAAAAAAAAATATTTTTTCTATCATAATTAAAAAATTCCAACATAAAATAATATAGAATATAGTACTCGTTGTTTCCCAAATATGAAAAATAGTGGAATAATGAGGAAATTATAAAGGTGAGAATCATACACATTCCATATAAGGATATGAATATTAATTCTTGTTTGGTCAAATCTTGTTTTGTTAGATCTTGATTAGTTAATTCTTTCAAATTGTTAAAACAATAGAAGCTAGGTATGACTGGCAACTTTAATATATAAAGTGTTTATAATACAACTATTTTAAGTTGAATACTTACAGCATGTGTGATAATATTTGCTATATGTTCTAACGGACTTGGCTGATAATGATAACAATTTTTCCGTTTATTCATAAAAGAAAAAAGAGATTTTGAAAAGAATCAGCAGTGATTGCCAATGAATGATGAGAATATTTTCTTCTTTAAGTTTTAGTTTCGAAATTTAAATGGTTAGTGCTAGATATTACCCAAACAACTAAAAATTATGATTTGATGAAACGAATGTTTTTTTAACTTCTGATATTATAAATTGAATAAACATGTTCCAGCTAAAATCGGTGGCTTTGTAGGGGGAGGTTAGTAGAGATCTAAAATTTTAATGTTCGGCTTTTAAAAATTTTGATTTTTTTCTACTTATGCTATTTAATTTAAACTAAATTTCATTATTTTATATTTAAATTAAATGTCCATGCTTTTATTGCTACTTAATGAATGAATTTTATTTTCTGCTAAAGGTTCAGATCTCTTGATAATGGCCCTATTATTACATATTATGCATTAAATATAATTTTTTATCATATTAAAAAAAAATATTACTAGCATACATAGGTACGGAACTTAATTAAAACAAAAAATTTTTATTACACAATTAATTTAGGGAGCATTAATTACATAACTTTACTTAATAGTATGGAGAAAATTTTAAGGATATCTTGTATTTTCCCCTACATAGAAATAGCTTTACACCTTAAAAAGAGGCGGAGAAACTATTATAGATTTTATGATCAAATTAAAAAATATTTGCTCACTATGTATTAATTCTCCTGTTGATGAACTTTTAAGAGATATCTTTATCTTGGAGTAGGGCTGACTGAGTTGGATAAAGCGCTTCGGTCTAAGTATATCGAAAGTAATATACCATGATGCGATCGAGCTGTCTTTCCTGGAAAAGGAAACCTAGATAGAAGTTAACAGAATAATTAAACATAAGCCGACGTAAGGTTCCAAAAACAACTATTTCAGGAATAAAATTTATAATAAATGTAATAAATTTAATAATAATAGTTATAATGCCAACAAATTAAATTATAATAATTATATTCCTAATAATTAGAAATCTAGTTTTAAATCTAACTTTACAAAGGCAAGGCAAACCACATAGCAAAAGATTGTAGAACACATGCTATACAGATGATTCTACCACGGACATCTCGCCTGTCATTTCCTAATAAAGCTACCATTGATACGATGATAAATGATTTGTGGCTTACAATAGAATTCTATACTGGTTCTCGAGTGTGATAGATAAAGTTGCGTGGAGACGCATTGGCAAACCATCACTATAGCCTTATAATTGTTATGTTAAAAATAATATGTACAATAAGTGAATAATTTTTTAACTAGCGGTATTTTCTTGAGTAAATGTATTTTCGTGAATGGTAGCTTTGTAACATAGTAGTGATAATATGGATAATTTGCAATATTTTGTAAATAAGACAAAATTCTATTTAATGTATTACCTTGACATCCAAAACTTGCATAGGAAATGAATGCTTTAATACAAAGTTAAATAATGTTAGATGTAGATGACAATCATAATATGAATATAAAAACTGTTTTAGTTTGAGAAACTATATTTGCACAGGCAATTGTTATGCAAAGGAATAATTAATGATTTGTAAAATTTTATAAAGATATATTAAAATAATATTTGAAAAGTTACATAGGAACTGATAAAGTTATACTCATCTGTTTATATAGATATTAAATAGAAATTTTTTTACTATTATAGTCTTTATGCTTTTTAAAATAATTAGGCTTAGCTATTTGAAACAGTTTCGGTTAAACACTTATATTTTTTTTATAATGGATCACGTTTTTGAGCTATAAATGCCAATCACCTTTTTAATCTTTTCGTTAGGCGACAAAACGTATAATAATAAACACATATCACATGACATTTCTTTTAAATGAATGAATGAAGATTGTAAAAATGTGAACATTTTCTAATTTTTTTTGAAGGGGTAGGTGGTAAGCATTTAAGGGTGTAGGCTTGGGATACAATAAATCGATTGAGGGGGGGGGGGGGGTATCTATTAAATTTTTAGATGAAATAGGGCAAAATGTATTGCTATAAAAATTAATACCTTTATTATAGACCTATTATAATACAATTATAGTGCGAAACATTGACCAAATATACATATTGCACAAAATATCATAGACATTATTTTCCAAGTAAAAATATTTCTGATATAGATAATAATAATAATAGCGATTTAATATATTTGTTTTAAAATACAAAGCCCTATCTGCGTATTTTTTTTTTAATTTTTAAGCCAAAAAATTTAAGCCCCTCCCGTGCATATTTAAAATATTTTAAAAAACGGCTTACATGTCGCTGGTTTAAATAATTAGAGTGTGGACAAAGCCAAATCATTGACCGTAACTTATTTCAAAATTTCCGGGAACCGATTCTAAGAAAAATACAAGTAATTCATGTATTCTATTGTAAAATATTGTATAATTCATTTACGAGTTCGTGATTGCTTTAACAAAGTTAGATATTTTAAGCCAATACCTATTTCAAAATTTTTGGAATCACTTTTTTAAATATTCACAACCGATCAGAACCCCCTTTTGTCGGAATTTCAAACTCTTGTTTAAACCTACCCCAATTTCAGATTTTTAAATCGAACCCCTTTTACTTGTATTTGTTCTTTAATCAGAAAAACCACCTTATTACTTGATTAAAATTTCAGTTAATCCTTATATAATATTCGTCTAAATAAAATATAAATTACGGAGAAGTTGATGTTTTAATAAGATTTTAAATTTTAAAAACACCCCGAAATTTATTTAGCTATTTTTTTGCGCTATTTGACACTTTTTTTAAATTTTAAAAATCTGATTTTGCCGGAGGTGCAATCCAACTTGGGTAAAATACATACTCTATTTCACATTTCAGACAATTCTTATTACACATTACCGTTAGCATATATATTGTATACGGGGAAAACTGTTTATAAAAAAGAAAAAATAAGGTGCTTTTTAAGTGTATATGAATATATTATAAAAAAACATTGGATTGGTTAAGTATAAGGAAAATATATGTTAATAGAGAGGAGATATAGAGGTTCATATGTATTAATTCTAAATATTTTGATTATGTATATAATAAATCAGAAGGCGAAAAAATTAGGAGAATGATAATTTAAAGGACCTGTTTTATACGTGAGTCAAAAATAGAGATTTACATCAAAAGCGGGAGGTTCCTTAATTTTTAAATTTATACAATAATTCGTTTTGACATCTGATGTAACGAGTTGATATCGAAAGTTGGGAATTATAAAATTTTCCCTCTATATGTTATTTTAAGTATAAAATTAATGTTAAATTTTGAAAACAAAGGTAGAATGGAAGGGTTTGTGGAAATATTTGAAAATTACTAATTATATTTTTAAAAGATTACAAATTACTTTAAAAAAGTACATTTAACAGCTTTTAAAAGAAGTGCAGCACTAAGCATAATGATTACTATATTTACTATACTAATCCCTATCAGTACCGATTCGAGACGTCTGATCAGACCTAACTTGGATGAGTCAGACTCGAACAGATATTCTCTGAGGTTTGGTCGGATAGGACCGGACCTCGAGAAAAATTTTAATTATTTTGATTTCTTAATATTTTTGATATTATTTTCATGAAACCAAAATTTTAATTATACTTCGGTGTTTATAATTTTTTCTTTATCGTTGAAATATCGTACTTTATTAAAAGTCCAATAAAAAATAAATAGGAGGCAGAACTTGAACCTAGAGCAAGCGAAAGAAAGCAAACATTTAATAGGTGAGTACGTAAGTCTTCTAAAATAAAATTTAAGATCTTGGATATTAGGAAAAAAAATTCATCCTTTGAATTGGGGGAAAATATTTTTAAAATTTTTCCCGGATCGGGTTGGACTTGTAAAATTAGTTCACGGCTCTATTATTAAGGGATGTGAATTAGGACCCGAACCTGAACCTTGGTATTTTAACTGTACTCGAACCCAGACCCTTTTCAAAGGTGAAGGGTTCAAGGGTTCTGGGCATCAAAGAATAAATTAAAAAATTTCCTTTAAATTCGTGAAAAATAAATTTATCTCTTCCCATTTTTCAAAATTTTCGTTTTTATACTTCCATTTTATCTGTAATATCTTGTTTTAATTTATATCAATTTTAGAAGGTGATATATATAAATTTTGTAGTGTAAGTAATAATATTTTATTATAAATGATAATTTTATAATAGGCTATATAATAAGAATACGTTTACTTATCTTGTTTTATATCAATTTTAGAAAGTAAAATATAGGAATTTTATACTCTCACATCCACAATGTAAACATTATATTAATTCATATAAAAAAGCATTTTTATAGGAAAAATGAAAACCCAATATTATTTTTATAAAGATCTAATATAGCCAAAAGCCTACAATATGTGGACCTAAAGATCTCCAATAAAATCTATGCGGGGAACCCACCTAAAATGTCACTAATAAAATCTCTGATACGCTTATTTTTTGTAGTGTAAGTAATAATATTTTATTATAAATTATATTAAGGACTATGCGATTAAATAAAACATTTAAAATATAAAATTTTTTTACTTGTCAATTATGCATGTCTATTATTTATACGGAGTATATAAAAAAATAAAATTGTGTAATTAGGTCAATATTTCTTTATGACCTCCAAACCCTGAACCCGAACCCTTTTTTTAAATTTTATTCCTGAACCCGGGCCCTTTTTTTTGTAGAGTTCACATCCCTGCTATTATTTACTAAATTTTTAATTTTAAGTGATAAGATTTAAAATTTAAGCATATATAGATGACATGTTGAAAATTTTATACTTAGAACAGGGGTAGTAAATTTATTTGGCAATAAAAATAGAAATCATTATATATTTATATCGAATGTATAATATACTAAAAAAAATGTTGATGATTAGCTAGTGCATATAATGTAAGGGCTAAAAAAAGGTCTAAAATTCATAGAATTGATTTATATCGAGACGAGATGGTCTATTTTTTTAATGGGTGTTTGTAATATCTTTATGATATCGTAAAATTATTGACTGTAATATAACAAGATTGGGCAGACCAATAGTTTGACAAGAATATATCATGTTAAATATTTGGATAGATACTTTTGAAATTTAACGTTTTATAACGATCGTTTAATAATATCATTCTAAAATATAGTTGGTATGCGACTTTATATCTTGTATTCATTTTATCGTATATCGTAATATAGATTTTTTATCTGGACGATTCCCTCCATATTATTATTCAAAAATTAATATAAATACACGCAAAAACATATGACCATGGCAATCCCAAGACTATAAAAGAGAGTGCACCAAGCCTTGCCTGACTTCAGTTTCATAATTTTTCCGCATGGGTTATAGTGGAATAATTTAAGCCAACAAGATCGACCAGATACTGAGTAAGAAACATCGTTTCTATTTTCCCTATTATTTGATTGTTTGAATCTTAAGAAACAAGACAAGGAGAAGAAAGAAAGAGATAACTTCTCAAAATATGCTGTGATCTGCTTGAACTCCCAAGCAGCACATATACATAGGAAGCCCGAAAGAAGAGCGTTAAGAGTTGGATAGTTTGGTAAATATGTTAATATTCCAGCGTGAGGCCGAGTGGGTTGAAAGGATAAGCCTGGCAGAGGCACCGATTGCCATAGATGAAATTGACACAAATACAATTCTAAGGAAAATTTACCTAGCCGGGAAAATATGGAACTAAAGCTACGGTCATTTCTATTGTATATGTCGTGATAAGCGATGAGCAATAAGAAATAACATACAACCGGAATCCATGAAAGGTAAGAACTAACTTCGAAGCAATTGTCCAGCACAACGGCGTTGGTAGAGATTCTTTGATTTTCGTATTGAGCGATGCTAAGGGAACTAATTTCTTCTTCAATTAAATTAGGAGAGAATTTGTAGGAATTTAAGTCCTTTCGGATAGTATTGATGTTAAATTGGTCTGATATTGTATCAATCGAAATTTTTGTCCTGTCCGAGTTATTGATAACTGTGTAGGAACCACGGCAACTTAGCAACATAACTGTCAGGTATACCAGGAAAATAACTAGAGGTAGTAGAAAGATATGACAAAAATTGGATAAACTAGATGTTGCCTTACTATCCCTCACAAATTTCCTGTCCGTACTAAGGGAAGAACTGACTTTGAAGAACCGTTTGAAAAACAAAAAATCTATAAAACAGGTGCATTTAATTAGGTAGGCGAAAATCATGCCCACACAAACCGAGTATCTGTCATTAATCCATATGTTCCACCATATTCTTAATCGTTCGTCGCTTATTTGTGATGAGATTCCAGGATCGGATGAGGAAGGTATGAAGGAAAAGAGGCGAGAAAAGGCTTCAGCAAAATTGGCCTCTGAGGAATATAATAGGCTAATACCAACACCCAACATAATAAATTTGATTATAATACATAAATGATTCCAAAAAGAAAGGATAATCGTATAATCATTATTATCATGGTTAGAATGTTCAAAATATTGAGTATCATCTTGAAAATGATTTGAAATGCAGTTATTACCATCACCCAAGAACTTATCCATCATATTGGTATAAATTTCTGATTCATCACAATTTGAAAGCAAGGCTACATTCTCATAATCAAATTTGTACTGAGATGAGTAAACAAAGTTTATGTTTATGAAAGGTGGTGCCAAAAACCATAGAACTATTATTAAATACCAAAAGGTTACAAGTGGTACAAATGAATAAAAAACGTAAGGTCGATTCAGGGCTAAGCAAAGGAGGCAGGCTATAAAGTTGTATCGGAACACAATCGAAACACAGCGTCGCAAAACTGCAAAGAAAAACCGAAAGTATTCACAATAGATAGGAGATTTAGATGGAGTAGCCTTATTGATATTAAGAAATTCTTTCGAATTTCCGGGTATTTTGGGAGGAATACCTATTGCTTTACATCTAATCAAAAGGTTGAAGATGTCATTAAAATGTGTGTAACCAAATAAAACTAAAAAGGCTGTATTTAAAATGTTTAGAAAAATGGTTATGGATACATATTTGATAGTGAGATTGAGGTCATCGTTACCAGAATCATAACGGTTGGTGATGGAAAGATGAGATGGGGTGGCACCAGTCATATAAGATATCAAGAGAATAGATTGCATCCAACCCTTTAATTCATTTGTTTTATTCCTCGACATGGCAAAATATCTTGAATTAGTGTCAAATTTTCCATTTGAAGACATAATGCCATTTGCAGTTTTATTATTATCATTTTCTGTCATTGTACCTGATCGCTCTGTGAAAAATGAACCAATGACAAAAAAATATGTCATAGGCAAGAAAAATCTCAAATGGGTGTAATACTTATTTTCTTTCATGAATAAGGATGTTTTGTCACATATTATAATGTAGATGAAAATGATGGCAAGTTTTATAAGGTTTACAAATATCAAAGGGTATCTTTTTGTCGGTTTTTCCTTTGGAATGGAATACGTTTTATTGAGAGATGGACTTAAATTTAGCATTTCTTCTTCTATGTCCATTGGCAAATGTGTATAGTTACTTTGAAAAATTTTATTAAAATTTGAATATAAAAATGGCAAAAAGAGAATTACGGCTGATATAAATGTTATGGTTAAACAAATGAATATGGTGTTATGAAACAAAGGTTTTGTTGTAGTGCAACAGGTGTCTTCTGGTAAATTTTTATTTATACTATTTTTAAAATGGTTTTCAGTATTTCGAGAATTACATAAATAATTAATTAAAATTTGCAAATCAATAGTTAAAGGAACTAACGAAGACTGGACGCCATCTGGTGACAAATGCAAATATTTTTGATTAACTTTTTGGGTTGATGTCCATAATTTCACTACATTGAAATGACTGATCATCATTTTATTAATTTCTTTGATAATAATATCATCATATAAATTCATAATATTATTTGTAATAATTCCTTTTTTATTCTTACTAGTTCTATTATATTGTGTTCTAAGGTATAATTTGCGCTCAAATATAGAATCTTGAAGCATCCAGAGAATTTTTAATTTTGTATTTTGATCCAAACTACTGTTTAATATATTTTGCAATAAATATCTAACTTTGGTTATTTGATGCTTAAAGACTTTGATTCCATGTGTATCATTGAATTGATTAGAAGCTAAACTTACATTATTAATGTAATCTTCATAATAATATTTAGAATTCCAGTATCCAACACTAATTACAAGAAGTTTAAGATTTTTAAAATTTACTGATTGAATTGCAGTCAAAAATTTGGCATCTATAATTGGGGTGAAAATAAATTGGAATTTAGAATTTAACAAAGCATCTTTATAACTAATTTTATAATGAGTTGCATTTAAATCAGTGATGTTATCTTCAATCTCCAGTGATATTTGCGGATGTGTAATATAATTTAAAAAAGATTTATAAAATTTATATAATTTCATATCTCCTAAAAATACATACAAACTAGTTTCAGCATTTGTTGCATTATTTAGTTGTATGTTTTTATTGAATTCATATCTTAAACAATTTCTTGCTTCATATTTATTGTAAGTTTTTATCATACAGCCATAAGGTTGCCAAACATGGGCTCCATGATAACGTCCATCAGATAAAAGCCAATCACATGTATCATTTGAGTTTATTATATACATGTAATATCTTAAACACAAATGATAAATAATGAGATAAAAAATTATTGAGCAGGATATAAATTTAAAAACTACTTCCAAATTATTCAACCAATTTTTCATTATATATTTTAGCATATTTATAGCAGCAATTCGTAAGGATAATATTGAAGAGAAAATTTTTAAAATTTATATAGTTATAGACTTAACACAAAAAAATCTGAGAATCAGCTGTTTACCTAGAAACGCATGTATTTGGTTTAATGATTAAAAATTATTGTTAGTATTATATTTTTTAATGTATTGAAAATAAAATTTCATATTATAAATTATAAATAAACTTTTATATCTATCACATACGTCTAGAATTAACATATGTAGTTTTTAAACAAGTAAAATATAAATATAGAAGTTTAAACTAAATATATTAAAAATGGCTCAATCGACAGAATAGATAAAAGTATTTGAATCTGTTGCAATATTAAAAATATACTTAAATTTTAACTTAACTTATTTTATTCTTACTTCTATCACTTACTATATTATGTTATATAAGACTCTTATTAACGCTTGACCCATTATTTTTGTTATCATATTTTAAATTTCTAATTCAAATTTATATCTTACAATATTATAGAAAATAATATAACGTACATTATAGTATTAAGTAAAAATATAATATAATATAAAGTGCAATTATGGGATAGGTTCTAAATCGCTAAAACAAAAATCGCTAAAAATTGGGAACATGGCTTATATCTCCTAGAAAATTTTTAAAGTAATATTGAAATTAATATTAATAGATACTAGGGGATTAAATACTTGTATTTAAATTGAAAATTTTAAAAAAATCGCTAAAATGGAAGAAATATCATACAAAATCCCAGTTTTGGGAATCAAATTGGGAATTTGGATGATATTTCTTCCATTTTAGCGATTTTTTTTTAATTTTCAATTTAAATACAAGTATTTAATCCCCTAGTATCTATTAATATTAATTTCAAATTTACTTTAAAAATTTTCTAGGAGATATAAGCCATGTTCCCAATTTTTAGCGATTTTTGTTTTAGCGATTTAGAACGGGAACCGCAATTATATCATTAAGAGAAATATAAAGTCTATTACTAATTTATCTTTAATCGACCACAATGATATACCATGCTAACCAAAAAAATCATAAGAAATTCTATAAACAAAAGATGAGCAAAGTTATAATACCCATATTCGATCAGTGGAGATTACGATTTGATTTTAAATTTGTTGGAAGTGTGGTGTGGTCGTCTAGATATTTATATCTTTTATTTTTTATCTTATATGTCATTTATTTTTCTATATTATGTCATATAATTTATTTAATATTGTCAATTTTATTAATTTTACAATCGGTTATTACATTATGATCTGATCCTTAATTTCTTACAGGCTTATATATACAAAACAAAGTTCATTTTTATAATAAATAGTAATCTTATATATAACTCAGTTAATCGAATTCCTATTTAATTAGTAATCACATAAGCATATTCACATAAAAACATCACATAGAACTAATCGATAAAACGTCCACACACAATTCAAGGGATGAAATTATATCTATATTGTTAGATAGCAAAACATTCTCCTATATTATATATATATGATCATTATAAAACATATATAATAAACGAAGTGATTAATAATATATTACATTATAAATGCACATATATATATTCATTATATCAATAAATAAATTTTTAATTAAAAATAAAGTAAAAAGGTTGATATTTCGATATTCAAATAATATTTTTTTTATATATTCAAATAATATAATATTTAATTATTATTTTAATTAATATCTTAGTAGATGATTTATTTTAATTAATATCTTAGTGGATTATTTATTTTAATTAATATCTTAGTAGATGATTTATTTTAATTAATACCATAATTTATTATGATTTATTCATATTTTTAATATTATATTTTTCTAAATTTTATAATTTATTTTAATTTATATCTTAAAAATATTTTAATTTATTTTAAATTATTTATTTTCGTATATAATGAATTATAATTAATATATAAAATGGTTCAAACACATGTTTCAAGCAAAGTGAAACTATAATATTGTTCTATATTTTTATATTTTTGTCGTTACGATATTGTGTTAATATTATATTTTTATTTCGAAATTTTTTTAAATGAGTAATATTTTTATATTATTATTATTAATAGATTTATGTTAATATTAGGGTTTTTGTTTATTATAATAATAAATGTATATTTATAGCGATTAAGGAAAAAAAAGAGAAAATTAGTTAATAAAAAAGTGATTTAGCTCAACGATAAAGCAAATAAAAGGGAAATAATTAATTAGCACAATAAAAAATAAAGGTAAATAAAAACATTTTATTTTCTAATAACGAGCTAGATGTACCCCGAACCTAAAATAAATATCAGCTCAATTGAATTCATTAGAATTATGAGATATGAAGGAGAATCCTTTTTTATAATTGAATGAGCTATAAGCCAAAGTGTGAATTCTATAAATCAAAATTGCTAATAAATCTTAATCTCGTTGCGATGTATTTTTATCCTAGTTAGTGAAAGTTGTCATAAAATTTTTATTATAAGGTTTTTCAATTTTATGAATTTGTAAAAATGAATATTATATATCCCACTCATTATTCATCCCACCTATAACAATCTCTGAAAACTTTCGCAGTTTTTTAAATTTATATAGTTGCTTAATAAAATGATCTTAAGACACCTCATCAGGACAAAATCTGCCTTGAACATGATAGTAACATCGATTCATATCCCCCTCCGTGTTAAATTAAAAAGAAAATTGTTCATTCCTTTTAGTTGTTTAACGAAAAAACCCTTGTATCTCAAGCAGGGACGTCATTAGCCTTTACAATCTCAGGGAGCTCAACTAAAAAAAAATTTATAAGGCTCACATGTCATCTATTTTGCGGGTTTCGGCCATATAACGTTGTGTTACCATGACAATGTTTTATAGAATGGACTAATAATGTTGGATAAATTTTAGATTTAAAATTTACGAATAATAAGCTATAAAACAAAATAAATACTGAAATTTTTTTTAGAATCCTTTAATTTCCCATTTTTTTTACTTGCCCATATAGCCTTATGTGTTATACCAACAGCATTTTGTAAAACACCTCATTACTTCTATATTTTTCGTTCTATCTTAAATTTTGATGCTAATTATACATTTTTATTTTACTTATAACTTTTAATTTATAATATATACTAGGAGTATTAGTATTATTTCCTGACTCTCTAAATAAAAAATTTAACTATATATTTTAAAAAATAATTTTAGTTTAAGTCTTGGAAAAGTTTTTATCCGATTTAATTTATTTTATTATTTATTATCTTGGAGAAAAAATTATTATTATTTAATTTTAAAAATATATATAATTTAATTAAAAACAATTACATTAAAAAATAAAATAAAAATAATATTACTTCCCGGTATCTTTTCATAGCCAAAAAAATAATTAGTTTAAATGGTGCCAGTTATGGGTATGGGTGGAAAAAATTAAATTAAATTCTCCAACTTACTTAAGCTTAAAAAAAATATGAAAACTTGTAAAAGAAAGAATTTTATTTATTTTTCCCATTTTTGTTTACTCTTTTCATACACATTCATTATATATATTTAGAAAATGTTTATTTATAGCAAAAATGGACTATATTTTAGTGGAGAGTTCCAATAAAATGATGATATTAAAACTGCAGCAAGTAAAATGTTGATAAAGGCTACCGGAAATTTATAAATTATGTAGCTACCATGTTATCAAAATAATTTATTGAGAACTATTAATTTAATATGATCAGATATATATATATATATGTTTTTCTATTTTTATAAATTGTTTTAAATACATTAAAGTTCTCCCCACTATAAATTGAATTCATCATAATAACGTAATGGGGGTTTCGAAACTCTTTTTTTTAGAGTTGTACTTCCATTATGTTATGCAAGTCCTAATCCTCAGTTATTGTTATGGGTGTTTCTTTAGCTTGAACATGAGCTTCCTTCAGTTGGTCGGCAGCTTGTTTTTTTTACAATACCCTCAGACTCAACATCATACAATATCGCTTTCCGTTGAACCACTGTACCTTCACGCCATCGTTTTAAAGAAACGTTTTGAATTCAGATCCAGTAAACTGAGTACCGTTATCTGAGACAATGTAACGAGGTAAACCAAATCTAACGAAATAATTACGCAGATTATTTATTACACTCGTCGAATTAGTATGTGTTAAAATTGCAACTTTAACCCATTTGGGGAAAGCGTCTACGCAAATTAACCAGTACTTTCCAGACACGGGCCTGTCAAATCAATGTGTATTCTATCCCAAGGTCGGGTAGGAATATTCCAATTGTATGATGGTACTTCTCTGGCTCCCGGTCTTCCTTCCTGACAACTCTTGCAGTTGACGAATTCTTCAACATCTCGATCAAAATTTGTCCAGAAGACATAGTATCTGCATAAGAATTTCATCCCCACTATCCCCAGATGTCCTTGATGGATAACATTCAAAACCACTTTTTTTTAGGTTATCAGGAATGATTATTCTATCATTATAAAATAATAGCCCTTCTTCGAAATAAATATTATCTTTAATTAAGAAGAATTTTTTTAAACTTTCCGAGTAATTATTTATATTATCAATATGCCAATGATTTTTTATTAATTTAATGATCTCTTTTAGATTTGTATCATTGATTGTTTCACTTATAACTTTACTTCGAGTGAACGATAAATCTTATATTAAATTGATCTTTACTTCTCTAATTTCATTTTCAAATTTTTTTTTAAACTTTATTAATTTTTTCTCTCTCTACCTCCAAACGGGACAGAGCGTCGGGGCATCTGTTTTGATTACCCGGCCTATGAATTATCTCGTCGTAATTTAAAAGCTTCGTGGCCCATCGTATTAAACGATTATTTGTTATTTTATTTAGGTCTATTTTATCACCTAAGATATATTTTAAGGTTTATGATCTATAACCAAAATAAAATGTCTTCCATAAATATATTGATGAAACTTCTCGATAGCGAACATGATCGCCGAAACCTCCCGATCAATAGTGGCGTAATTCTTTTCAGCCGCCGAAAGTGTCCTCGATGCGTAA